AGCATGGGAAAGGTAGATGAAAATGGCGGCCATGAGGACCGGAAAGATGAGGAATACGTATGAGGGAGGTGGTTGAAGAGGAGTGGGTCCCATACCCAATGGCAGAAATATTAGACACATTACCACCACGAGCATCATCACCACCGATCCAACTCCCCAACCGTACTCTACTTCCTCCATTTTCTCTTCTTAACCGTACTCTACTACTCCGACGAGGCAATCAATGATCACAGAGAGGGAGACACTCCCTCCGACCCCGGCCAAACTCAAGGGAACAAATGGTATTGCAATGATTAGAGTAGAGTCTCTCTATATATGCGTTTACATGGTGGCCCTTGGGAGGGGACACACCGGTTCGATTTTCGGATGCAGGCGCCGCTTCTCTCGTCTCGCAGCGTTTCGTCTAATAGTCGCCTTGTGTGTATGTAATTAGCCTCGTGGTTCATAAGATGGGCCTCTTTCATTTCAATCATGGCTACAATTTTAAACAACCCATTTAAATTTTTGTTGATGTCTGGATTTTAAATTTTAATAATTTTAAATAACTCTTATACGCGTATATATAATATTTTTTTCNGATGCAGGCGCCGCTTCTCTCGTCTCGCAGCGTTTCGTCTAATAGTCGCCTTGTGTGCATGTAATTAGCCTCGTGGTTCATAAGATGGGCCTCTTTCATTTCAATCATGGCTACAATTTTAATCAACCCATTTAAATTTTTGTTGATGTCTGGACTTTAAATCTTAATAATTTTAAATAACTCTTATACGCGTATATATAATATTTTTTTCTGCTAAAATCATTCTTTTTTTCTCTTTTTCCTACTTACGCATTAAGTAGGTTTTAAAAAAAAAATTAAACACACGGAAAGGGTATTATTGGCTCTTTATACGAGATTGTTAACCCCTTTAGGCTCTAATTAGATGCCCTTTTTGGCGCTAAACTTTAATGGATTAAATGTAGATTTTTAAAATACNATCATTCTTTTTTTCTCTTTTTCCTACTTACGCATTAAGTAGGTTTTAAAAAAAAAAATAAACACACGGAAAGGGTATTATTGGCTCTTTATACGAGATTGTTAACCCCTTTAGGCTCTAATTAGATGCCCTTTTTGGCCCTAAACTTTAATGGATTAAATGTAGATTTTTAAAATATAGGGAGGCAAAGTGTGACTGACTCAAACCTTGGAAGCCATGGTCGCTAGTGGAATTTTGAATTGGAACCATAAATGTATGTCAAGGCTTTAAGAGTAGAGCCACCTAGCTATTGCAACCCATCACCGTCGGTCAATGCTCCCACCGCTGCCCTATTGTGAAGCCTATTGCTACCGGCGAATACATTGTCCTCGTTCACCACGCCTGCTGCCACGTGTACTTGTGTGGCACTTCGTTGAATATGTTTTTATATTAGATTGGATGCATGCCCATTTATGTATCTTCAAGTTTCATTTGCGGAGACCCAACCCAACAATAGAATATATCCCAGAGACAGAGACAGACCCAGAGACAGAGACAGCGACAGCGACAGCGACAGAGAGAGATGGAACATGGAGGGACTGGAGGTTTTCATGGCTACCGCGGGCTTCCACACACAAGCTCTGGTAATGAAAAGATATTTCTGGTACAATACTAATGGCCATATTCCTCAACTTGTCTGTTTCATTCTCTTCAAATGTTTCTACTTTGTGGTTGTGTCTGTGGTGGTGGTGTTTTTTTTCTTTTATTTTCCAGCCTTTTCTTTTCTTCTATTCTAATTCGTTTCATTCTATAAAAAAGGGATTGCTGGCAAACAAAACAGTCCTGGGACTGGGAAGAGGAGGGGGGGGGGGGAGGTTTCTCTAACCTTTTATATATGTCTCCCAGCCCAGATCCATCTTAGGTTGACAAATTAATCCCTCTCTCTCTAGTACTCTAGTATATTTATCACCCATATCGTTGCAGTATTTTTCAGGTGCATGCAAATGTAAAATCTTCATGTTCAGCTCTATATCTGTTACCACGACGATGACAAGCCCCATTTTAATTCAGGCTTAATTAGTCACCTCATCATGATCAGTAAATGTGTTTCTTCTTAATTTGTTTGAGATCATGTCACTTGTATAAATTAAGTGCGTGGATACTGTTTTCAGATGCATGCTGTGAGTTCTTCAAGTTCTTTGCTCTTAATTTGTCTACCAACTACTTTTTTTCAATTCTACGTTTAGCCGTTTAGTCCTCTCCCCTTGATACTTTTGCCCCTTCTTTCTACCCAACATATCTTTTGAATCTCTATGATTATCACCCCTTGAAAGGTCAAAACACAAACATTGTTCATTGCTCTCTCTCTCTCTCTCTGATCAACTGTTTTCTTCTTCTCCTGGGGGAGGAGATCAAGAAGAAATCCTATTTGCACTATTTAATTTAAATTAGGTTTCACTATACGTTACAGTTCCACTTCCACACCCAACCATAAGTTATTTGTTTGATCTTGCACGCGTTGGCTGGTTTTTCTTCATTCTCTTCCCTTTTACATTTTGTTTGGACATGGATGGATCAATGCTATAGTGGAGATGGATGATGATATGACATAGTAAAGGACAAGGAACGTTAACCCAAGTGTCATGCATGCAATTTATAGATGACCCCACAAGGCACACGATCTCATTTTGCACGCTACTTTTAACACATGGAGCACTTGTTTGCAGCCTCACATCACATGCAGGCTTCTTTCTTAAGCAGTGTATAAATTATTGTTGTATGAAGACTGCAGTGACGACGACATTCTTAATGTTGAAAGCATGATACGCATTTGACATATGAAGGCAGGCTACATATTATTAATTAAAAAAAACTTGTTCTCCATGATTGATTTCAGTGGTAACATTAATAATTTGATGCGAGTAGAAGACAAAGTTTGGTGACGAAAACTACAAAATTGAACCGCTCTCTTTGTTTCGTCTGTTTGCTTTTTATGATGTTATTTAGCATTTACCCATTTCTGTCGTCGTCTTCTTAAAAACCTTGGACTTTCTATATATGTGGGGAAAGAATCAAAGCTCCTTTCTGGGATTTGTCTCGTTTGGTTTGTCTTCGTCCTAATTCACTTCCATGGTCCTCATGCAAGTGCGCTTTTTTTTTCTTTTTAATTTTTCTAGCGAATGATGAATGCATGCCAGTGCTGTGTGATTATGCCAGAGTGCACTGCACTGCTGCCACACAAAATTACTCATTCAAACTCAAGAAACCTCAGAAACATTAAATATGTTGATTACAGCCAGCGGTGACAACTCAAGTGAAAACAGATTGGTTCTTGATTTGGGCGTTAGTTCCGTCTTAGACTATAGTGTTCAGATGAACCAACAATTAAGAGTTTTGACAATAACTCTCTCTCTCTCTCTCTCTCTCTCTCTCTCTCTCTGTTGACTTCTTTATATATAGGGACGAACCTTCCCGAGATGACTATGAAACTTCCCGAGAGTAATCACACCACCAACCACCACCACTCAACCACAAATCATGACAGTGAATGCACCGTGCGAGAGCAAGATCGCTTCATGCCAATAGCCAACGTGATCAGAATCATGCGGAAGATCCTTCCTCCACATGCCAAAATCTCTGACGATGCCAAGGAAACAATCCAGGAGTGCGTGTCTGAGTACATCAGCTTCATCACAAGTGAGGCCAACGAACGCTGCCAACACGAGCAGCGGAAGACCATTACCGCCGAGGACGTGCTTTGGGCCATGAGCAAGCTGGGTTTCGATGACTACATCGAGCCACTCACCGTGTACCTCCACCGTTACCGTGATTTCGATGGTGGTGATCGTGGTGGCTCAATCAGGGGTGACTCATTGGTGAAGAGAGCATTTGAATCTGGACCATTGGGCGTTGCTGGCTATGCACCAGTTTTCCACATGGGTCCTCACCACCATGGGTTCTTCGGAGCTGCAGACACGGGTGGTTACTTGAAGGATGCATCGAATGCAAGTTCATCGACCCAGGCTGCAGTGGCTGGCTTTGAGCCCTATGCCCAGTGTAAGGAGTAAGTGATATACGTTGATAACACAATGGACTGTGGAGAAAGAGGGAGATGACTGTTATCATTTTGAAATCTTTATGTAATGAAAAAACAGAGTTTTGGAAAGGGAGTTTTCCCAGCATTGGACTTCTTTTAAGTAATGCTTTCCTTGGATNTGTACTTGTGTGGCACTTCCTTGAATATGTTTTTATATTAGATTGGATGCATGCCCATTTATGTATCTTCAAGTTTCATTTGCGGAGACCCAACCCAACAATAGAATATATCCCAGAGACAGAGACAGAAACAGAGACAGAGACAGCNATATTCTGTTAGGAACTTAACTAAATCTTTTTTTATTTTTAAAAAATAAAAAACAAGTAAGGGCCATGCGAACTATCAATAAAATGATATTAAAAATAAGCAATGTACCAAAACAATTGTGAAAAAGTATTTTTACCAAGTGCACACACCNAGACAGCGACAGCGACAGAGAGAGATGGAACATGGAGGGACTGGAGGTTTTCATGGCTACCGCGGGCTTCCACACACAAGCTCTGGTAATGAAAAGATATTTCTGGTACAATACTAATGGCCATATTCCTCAACTTGTCTGTTTCATTCTCTTCAAATGTTTCTACTTTGTGGTTGTGTCTGTGGTGGTGGTGTTTTTTTTCTTTTATTTTCCAGCCTTTTCTTTTCTTCTATTCTAATTCGTTTCATTCTATAAAAAAGGGATTGCTGGCAAACAAAACAGTCCTGGGACTGGGAAGAGGAGGGGGGGGGGGGAGGTTTCTCTAACCTTTTATATATGTCTCCCAGCCCAGATCCATCTTAGGTTGACAAATTAATCCCTCTCTCTCTAGTACTCTAGTATATTTATCACCCATATCGTTGCAGTATTTTTCAGGTGCATGCAAATGTAAAATCTTCATGTTCAGCTCTATATCTGTTACCACGACGATGACAAGCCCCATTTTAATTCAGGCTTAATTAGTCACCTCATCATGATCAGTAAATGTGTTTCTTCTTAATTTGTTTGAGATCATGTCACTTGTATAAATTAAGTGCGTGGATACTGTTTTCAGATGCATGCTGTGAGTTCTTCAAGTTCTTTGCTCTTAATTTGTCTACCAACTACTTTTTTTCAATTCTACGTTTAGCCGTTTAGTCCTCTCCCCTTGATACTTTTGCCCCTTCTTTCTACCCAACATATCTTTTGAATCTCTATGATTATCACCCCTTGAAAGGTCAAAACACAAACATTGTTCATTGCTCTCTCTCTCTCTCTCTGATCAACTGTTTTCTTCTTCTCCTGGGGGAGGAGATCAAGAAGAAATCCTATTTGCACTATTTAATTTAAATTAGGTTTCACTATACGTTACAGTTCCACTTCCACACCCAACCATAAGTTATTTGTTTGATCTTGCACGCGTTGGCTGGTTTTTCTTCATTCTCTTCCCTTTTACATTTTGTTTGGACATGGATGGATCAATGCTATAGTGGAGATGGATGATGATATGACATAGTAAAGGACAAGGAACGTTAACCCAAGTGTCATGCATGCAATTTATAGATGACCCCACAAGGCACACGATCTCATTTTGCACGCTACTTTTAACACATGGAGCACTTGTTTGCAGCCTCACATCACATGCAGGCTTCTTTCTTAAGCAGTGTATAAATTATTGTTGTATGAAGACTGCAGTGACGACGACATTCTTAATGTTGAAAGCATGATACGCATTTGACATATGAAGGCAGGCTACATATTATTAATTAAAAAAAACTTGTTCTCCATGATTGATTTCAGTGGTAACATTAATAATTTGATGCGAGTAGAAGACAAAGTTTGGTGACGAAAACTACAAAATTGAACCGCTCTCTTTGTTTCGTCTGTTTGCTTTTTATGATGTTATTTAGCATTTACCCATTTCTGTCGTCGTCTTCTTAAAAACCTTGGACTTTCTATATATGTGGGGAAAGAATCAAAGCTCCTTTCTGGGATTTGTCTCGTTTGGTTTGTCTTCGTCCTAATTCACTTCCATGGTCCTCATGCAAGTGCGCTTTTTTTTTCTTTTTAATTTTTCTAGCGAATGATGAATGCATGCCAGTGCTGTGTGATTATGCCAGAGTGCACTGCACTGCTGCCACACAAAATTACTCATTCAAACTCAAGAAACCTCAGAAACATTAAATATGTTGATTACAGCCAGCGGTGACAACTCAAGTGAAAACAGATTGGTTCTTGATTTGGGCGTTAGTTCCGTCTTAGACTATAGTGTTCAGATGAACCAACAATTAAGAGTTTTGACAATAACTCTCTCTCTCTCTCTCTCTCTCTCTCTCTCTCTCTGTTGACTTCTTTATATATAGGGACGAACCTTCCCGAGATGACTATGAAACTTCCCGAGAGTAATCACACCACCAACCACCACCACTCAACCACAAATCATGACAGTGAATGCACCGTGCGAGAGCAAGATCGCTTCATGCCAATAGCCAACGTGATCAGAATCATGCGGAAGATCCTTCCTCCACATGCCAAAATCTCTGACGATGCCAAGGAAACAATCCAGGAGTGCGTGTCTGAGTACATCAGCTTCATCACAAGTGAGGCCAACGAACGCTGCCAACACGAGCAGCGGAAGACCATTACCGCCGAGGACGTGCTTTGGGCCATGAGCAAGCTGGGTTTCGATGACTACATCGAGCCACTCACCGTGTACCTCCACCGTTACCGTGATTTCGATGGTGGTGATCGTGGTGGCTCAATCAGGGGTGACTCATTGGTGAAGAGAGCATTTGAATCTGGACCATTGGGCGTTGCTGGCTATGCACCAGTTTTCCACATGGGTCCTCACCACCATGGGTTCTTCGGAGCTGCAGACACGGGTGGTTACTTGAAGGATGCATCGAATGCAAGTTCATCGACCCAGGCTGCAGTGGCTGGCTTTGAGCCCTATGCCCAGTGTAAGGAGTAAGTGATATACGTTGATAACACAATGGACTGTGGAGAAAGAGGGAGATGACTGTTATCATTTTGAAATCTTTATGTAATGAAAAAACAGAGTTTTGGAAAGGGAGTTTTCCCAGCATTGGACTTCTTTTAAGTAATGCTTTCCTTGGATATTCTGTTAGGAACTTAACTAAATCTTTTTTTATTTTTAAAAAATAAAAAACAAGGGCGGGCCATGCGAACTATCAATAAAATGATATTAAAAATAAGCAATGTACCAAAACAATTGTGAAAAAGTATTTTTACCAAGTGCGCACACCCACCCTTTTGATTTCTGGATCACCTCTCTCTTCATTTTCTGCCCTTTCCATTTCACCTTGATCTTCTCCTGAATCAGCTTCATAACTTTTCCTTTGAGGGATCAACTGAAATGAAGGCTTCCAATCTCTCCTCGTCAAAAACTTGAGGAGTGTCTCTATCACTTGATTCACAGTAAGGACCTGCACTCGCACATACAAATGCCTAGAGTTCGATCAGGGTTTGGAATCACACTTTTTAAAACACAAACCTTTTATGCAAGTAAAGTNGAGGGGGGGGGGGGGGGAGGTTTCTCTAACCTTTTATATATGTCTCCCAGCCCAGATCCATCTTAGGTTGACAAATTAATCCCTCTCTCTCTAGTACTCTAGTATATTTATCACCCATATCGTTGCAGTATTTTTCAGGTGCATGCAAATGTAAAATCTTCATGTTCAGCTCTATATCTGTTACCACGACGATGACAAGCCCCATTTTAATTCAGGCTTAATTAGTCACCTCATCATGATCAGTAAATGTGTTTCTTCTTAATTTGTTTGAGATCATGTCACTTGTATAAATTAAGTGCGTGGATACTGTTTTCAGATGCATGCTGTGAGTTCTTCAAGTTCTTTGCTCTTAATTTGTCTACCAACTACTTTTTTTCAATTCTACGTTTAGCCGTTTAGTCCTCTCCCCTTGATACTTTTGCCCCTTCTTTCTACCCAACATATCTTTTGAATCTCTATGATTATCACCCCTTGAAAGGTCAAAACACAAACATTGTTCATTGCTCTCTCTCTCTCTCTCTGATCAACTGTTTTCTTCTTCTCCTGGGGGAGGAGATCAAGAAGAAATCCTATTTGCACTATTTAATTTAAATTAGGTTTCACTATACGTTACAGTTCCACTTCCACACCCAACCATAAGTTATTTGTTTGATCTTGCACGCGTTGGCTGGTTTTTCTTCATTCTCTTCCCTTTTACATTTTGTTTGGACATGGATGGATCAATGCTATAGTGGAGATGGATGATGATATGACATAGTAAAGGACAAGGAACGTTAACCCAAGTGTCATGCATGCAATTTATAGATGACCCCACAAGGCACACGATCTCATTTTGCACGCTACTTTTAACACATGGAGCACTTGTTTGCAGCCTCACATCACATGCAGGCTTCTTTCTTAAGCAGTGTATAAATTATTATTGTATGAAGACTGCAGTGACGACGACATTCTTAATGTTGAAAGCATGATATGTATTTGACATAAGAAGGCAGGCTACATATTATTAATTAAAAAAAACTTGTTCTCCATGATTGATTTCAGTGGTAACATTAATAATTTGATGCGAGTAGAAGACAAAGTTTGGTGACGAAAACTACAAAATTGAACCGCTCTCTTTGTTTCGTCTGTTTGCTTTTTATGATGTTATTTAGCATTTACCCATTTCTGTCGTCGTCTTCTTAAAAACCTTGGACTTTCTATATATGTGGGGAAAGAATCAAAGCTCCTTTCTGGGATTTGTCTCGTTTGGTTTGTCTTCGTCCTAATTCACTTCCATGGTCCTCATGCAAGTGCGCTTTTTTTTTCTTTTTAATTTTTCTAGCGAATGATGAATGCATGCCAGTGCTGTGTGATTATGCCAGAGTGCACTGCACTGCTGCCACACAAAATTACTCATTCAAACTCAAGAAACCTCAGAAACATTAAATATGTTGATTACAGCCAGCGGTGACAACTCAAGTGAAAACAGATTGGTTCTTGATTTGGGCGTTAGTTCCGTCTTAGACTATAGTGTTCAGATGAACCAACAATTAAGAGTTTTGACAATAACTCTCTCTCTCTCTCTCTCTCTCTCTCTCTCTCTCTGTTGACTTCTTTATATATAGGGACGAACCTTCCCGAGATGACTATGAAACTTCCCGAGAGTAATCACACCACCAACCACCACCACTCAACCACAAATCATGACAGTGAATGCACCGTGCGAGAGCAAGATCGCTTCATGCCAATAGCCAACGTGATCAGAATCATGCGGAAGATCCTTCCTCCACATGCCAAAATCTCTGACGATGCCAAGGAAACAATCCAGGAGTGCGTGTCTGAGTACATCAGCTTCATCACAAGTGAGGCCAACGAACGCTGCCAACACGAGCAGCGGAAGACCATTACCGCCGAGGACGTGCTTTGGGCCATGAGCAAGCTGGGTTTCGATGACTACATCGAGCCACTCACCGTGTACCTCCACCGTTACCGTGATTTCGATGGTGGTGATCGTGGTGGCTCAATCAGGGGTGACTCATTGGTGAAGAGAGCATTTGAATCTGGACCATTGGGCGTTGCTGGCTATGCACCAGTTTTCCACATGGGTCCTCACCACCATGGGTTCTTCGGAGCTGCAGACACGGGTGGTTACTTGAAGGATGCATCGAATGCAAGTTCATCGACCCAGGCTGCAGTGGCTGGCTTTGAGCCCTATGCCCAGTGTAAGGAGTAAGTGATATACGTTGATAACACAATGGACTGTGGAGAAAGAGGGAGATGACTGTTATCATTTTGAAATCTTTATGTAATGAAAAAACAGAGTTTTGGAAAGGGAGTTTTCCCAGCATTGGACTTCTTTTAAGTAATGCTTTCCTTGGATATTCTGTTAGGAACTTAACTAAATCTTTTTTTATTTTTAAAAAATAAAAAACAAGGGCGGGCCATGCGAACTATCAATAAAATGATATTAAAAATAAGCAATGTACCAAAACAATTGTGAAAAAGTATTTTTACCAAGTGCGCACACCCACCCTTTTGATTGCTGGATCACCTCTCTCTTCATTTTCTGCCCTTTCCATTTCACCTTGATCTTCTCCTGAATCAGCTTCATAACTTTTCCTTTGAGGGATCAACTGAAATGAAGGCTTCCAATCTCTCCTCGTCAAAAACTTGAGGAGTGTCTCTATCACTTGATTCACAGTAAGGACCTGCACTCGCACATACAAATGCCTAGAGTTCGATCAGGGTTTGGAATCACACTTTTTAAAACACAAACCTTTTATGCAAGTAAAGTCGGTGATTCACTGTAACCAAACTGATTACACTAAAACTTCTGAACGATGGGGAGCAATCCTCTCAAACGGGCATAGATCCAAGTCAAAAGGTAGTAAGTACACTGANAATTTATAGATGACCCCACAAGGCACACGATCTCATTTTGCACGCTACTTTTAACACATTTGCAGCCTCACATCACATGCAGGCTTCTTTCTTAAGCAGTGTATAAATTATTGTTGTATGAAGACTGCAGTGACGACGACATTCTTAATGTTGAAAGCATGATACGCATTTGACATATNGAAGCCATATAGATGGCAGTAACTATGGTGCCATCACAACGACCCATTTCTAGAGTTTGGCCATAGACACTAAAATCCCAATTCATACTAGTTCTCATCCAAGAACCAAGAAATCACAATAATAATTCATTTGTAATCTACTTCACCATGACACTTACATGTTCACAGTAACACCTGACTACACAGTTTACGACATGAAAGTAGGGGTCATTTCACTGTGCCTCTGAAGGCTTACCATCCATACAAACTTCACAGAAAACAGCNCATAGACACTAAAATCCCAATTCATACTAGTTCTCATCCAAGAACCAAGAAATCACAATAATAATTCATTTGTAATCTACTTCACCATGACACTTACATGTTCACAGTAACACCTGACTACAGCACCACCACAGTTTACGACATGAAAGTAGGGGTCATTTCACTGTGCCTCTGAAGGCTTACCATCCATACAAACTTCACAGAAAACAGGATCCTGCAAAGCAGCTGAAGCTTTACTTAGAAGCAGCTCCAAGGGATCCTACAAAATCTGTCTAAATGTGGTGCATCTTCCCTTCTGTTCACCGTTGCCATACTGCTAAAAGGCATGTCGAGGCGGCAACATGGTTCCATTTTTGGAGTTTCTTCCATGGGAAAATGCAACTTAAACCTGCTTGTTCCTCTTATACTCGTACAAACACTAGCGAGAACACTAGTATAAAGACAAAAAAGAAAATGCAACACACCTCATTAACCACATTCCATAAGCAAATAAAGCCTATATGAGACTAACCAAATCCAGGAAGATATAGACATATGCTTCGGGGGAGGACTAGTCCTTAAACATGGAACACCAAGTATCATGCAGAAAAATGTGACTTATCTTAACTTTCTCTCTGTTTTGTTCAAGAACATAGTACTTTCTTACCAAGTACTGACCGCCTGAGTTGATAATAATCAGCCTCAAAGAAGTATAATCAAATTACAAAGGGAATTTTGAAAACTAACATCTAGCTACAGAGATCCAATTTGAAAGAGGTAATTACATCATACTGAAAAGCATCAACACTCAACTTATAAGATTGACAAGCAAAGGATTCACAAGCAAACATCCATCCACATCAAGTGGATTTAACACCTAAATTGCAATATTGATTCAAAGTAGATCATTCACTGGAAACTTGGGAAAACAGAACGAACAAACAATGGGAAAACAGAACGAACAAACAATTGAAAACAAAAAAAAATCATTGCAATATTACCCCTCGAAAACTGTATTCTTTCAGCTGAAAATTCAGCTCAAGGTACACTCAAATAATGATGCTCAACATAATTAATCCCTAGGAGACATCACAAAAATGTAGATATCAGGACTCATTGAAATTGACATTAAAACACGAAAATATCAAAACCTTTCTGCCAGTCTAGCAGTAACTGCCCTAAGTTTGGAGTAAACCTTGCCAGCAGGGGACCCCAAGATAAGGCTACAGAGAGAATCCCTAGCAATTTTGATGTTGGCGAAAGATCCCAGTATATGAATTTTGGTGTCTGCAATGACAATCCGCGTCTTGGTAGAGTTCTCAATGGCAAACTTAGTTTTACCCCCTTTACCAGACAGTCTCCCAATGGCACGAGACAAGTGCTCGCCTCGAAGGGTTTTAACATCTTTGATCTCAAAAGACTCCACATAGAGTTCATCCATACGGAGAAGTGCGACGGCATCGATCACGTCGAATCCAAGCATGAAAGCGTGCACAAAATCAGCACACTTTTGTAGGTTACTGATATCGGGTGTATCTGATCTGGTCTTCAATTCAACCTTGCGAGCCTTGAGATTCATACGAATGTCGATTTTCATATGCTCGTATATAGGAGTATATATTTCCATCCATACTTTCTTGAGAGGCGTATACCGATGGGGTGGAACGGAGACCTTCCTGAACTGAACTTGACCATCGGATATCTCGTGAGCCTTCAATGGTGCGAAGTTTGGCTTGGAAGGAAAAGATACACGCTTTGATTCAGATGGAACCTTTTCAAGTTCCATGGAGGTGGCGCCTTCATCGGATTGCATCTTGTGATTCTGTGGATTTCCACCTAGAAAAATCGAGAGAGACAGAGAGCAAAAAAGATCAGGGGAGAACCGAGGAAGAAGAGAATGAGGACGGAGGTATGGCCGCAGAGAACCCTTGCTTCTTCTTCGCCTCACAAAACCCTAAACAAAATACCTTTTGGGCTTATATATTGGATACAATTACAATAACACCCACAATTGTTTGCACCGATTTTCAAGAATTACCCTCGTTGTTTTAGAAATTATAATGCGTCACCTCTAGTTTTTTTTTTTGCTTTTGATCCAATCATCTCCTCTACTTTTTTTTTTTTTTTTTTTTTTTTTTTTTTACCAGAAATCATCTCCTCTACTTGAGTGATGAAAATTTTATAGGAACTGGTAGAAAACATGACCCTTCGGTGATCAAGAGCTCACTTGAATCAAGACCGTTGGGCGTTGCTGGCTTTGCACCAGTTTTTCAGATGGTCATCACCACCATGGTTCGTCAGAGCTGCAGCAATTAGTGGGCCCTTAATGGATGCATCAAACGCAAAAGTTCATAGTTTTGTTAGGGTGGTTGTTCTATAAAACGAAGCTAGCTGGGGTTCACTCCGCAATAGAGTACTTTTTAAGTAAATAAGGGTTTTGGTGCTATTTATGCTTTCTTTGGACATTCAGTTAAGAAAATAATTAAATCGGTCCGATAATATTATATGATCTTGATTTATTGATTCAATTTACGAACTTAATCGATCACAGTTATTGGATGGATTGCAAATTTCACCCAACATTGGGACTAAATAGAATAATCTAACAACAACAATTAATCAAGTCAATAAATTAAGTCCAACTAGCAATGCTCCGTCAATTCTCCCAAGTCTGGGTAGCAACATGAGGTTCTATAAACCTCTGCCTTGGTTGTTATGCACTTTCATAGACATCTCAATTTTTAAAAGGTAATTTGCCCAAGAAACACAATTTGTCAGAGCTGGTTCTTGTGTAAGAGTGCTCATAACTTGAGCACAAGGACAGAACTTGAATATTTCAGACATGCTGCACTTCATCAAGGTAGAGTTCAGCAACAGTTACAGACATAATCTTGTAATGCTGTGTTCCATCATGTAAGATTAGACATGGCCACCATGTTCAAATGCAAAAGGGTGCACGCAGAGAATTTTTTTTCCTTTTTTTTTTCCAAGAGAGGGGGAGTGGCGANGCAACAGTTACAGACATAATCTTGTAATGCTGTGTTCCATCATGTAAGATTAGACATTGCCACCATGTTCAAATGCAAAAGGGTGCACGCAGAGAATTTTTTTTCCTTTTTTTTTTCCAAGAGAGGGGGAGTGGCGAGCAAGGCATAAGTTCCTTCGACATGGAACTCGGAAAGGGCTTGTGAACATTCCAGCATCGCACTCCATATTTTTACCCCGGCAAGCCTCCAGATGTTAGTCCGTTGAATCCTATAATTTAAATGCCCTTGCCATAGAGTAGACTGACTGCTAATTGACAAAAGGTAATACAACACTTCTTGCATGGTGCAAGTTTCATTTTGACTATCAATTTGCAGTTGTCTGAACAAATTGTCAACAAAAACTAAGGCAAAAACTGTTGTATGACCACAACAGGGTGTATACTTTTTTAAGTGCCTACACACTGCCTTTTGATTTCTGGATCATCTATCCCTTCGTTTTCTTCCCCTTCCATTTCTCCTTGATTTTCTTTTGAATCCACATCATATCTTTTCCTTTGAGGAATTACCTGAAATGAAGCCTCCCAATCTCTCGTTTCCAAAAACTTGAGGAGTATCTCTATCACTTGATTCACAGTAAGGACCTGCACTCACAGAGACAAATAGCTGAAGTTTGATCAGAACTTGGGATCAAATTTCTAATAACACAAACCCTTTATGCTAAACAAAAGTAAAGTCTGTGAATCTAATTGGTCTTCTTTCATACTAATCAAACTGATTACAATAAAACTCCAGAGTGATGGCGAGCAATTCTCTCAAACGACCATAGATTCATGCTTTAACAATTATGTTGCCATAACAACTACTACTTCATAACATTTGGTGATAGACATAAAGTCTGAATTCATACTTGTTCCCATCCAACTAAGAAAAAAAAACACGTAATAATAAAAATTCATTTGCAATATGCATCACCACTTAGCTTATTTGCTCATAAACAGAAAAACAAAGTTCGACCATAAGAAACATTAAGTAAACCTGGCACTAAATGATTATTTCAAATACCTATGAAGTAATTCTCCTGATATTTTGATTTACATATATTCATACACGCAATAACTTGTTTTCCTGACACACTGTCATAGCGGAGGCATTATTAACATATCACCAGGATATCAATCATTGTTAACACTTGAGAAAAGCACCGCCAGATTTTACAATATGAAAACACGTGTGAGTTTTCTAAGAATTCATAAAAGATGTAAAAGTCAATAACCCAATGTGTCCTTGAACATATACTGGGTTTGGAATAAAGCTACAACGAAATCCTGTAAAATGGATATATGCTCCCAGGAAAACCAATGCATAGACCAGTGACAAGAACCCTACTTGCTCTGAGGTACATAGACACTGCAAAGCTTGGCATACAATGATTAGATCCTAAAATCCGATTTAGTTTTGGTTCAATAGCTAAAGTGTCCACCAATGCAATGCAATGCATGCAAAAGTCTAGTTTCCTACATTTGATGCATCAAATAGTGTCTGCCTTGACAAACTAAACCAGAAACGTAAGTTGTCAATGACTCAAGAGAGTGTTGTTCATGCTTCCAGTCTTGAAGCTAGCACTAGACATTTGTGCCTTTGCATATGCTCTTTCAATTCCATGTAAGTGGTGTAAGCAAGACAGAGAAGAACCAAGTACATGCATGGTGGGCCCCGGAGGCAAGAAAACAAGATTCAGCATGGATGATCGCCCACACAGAAACCATGTCCTCGAAATTATAATAAGACTTTTAACTTTTATGAGCCAAGAAGTCGAGAAAAGAGATTCCAAGAAAATAAGAAGAATGGGGAAAAGGTCAAGTATTGAGACAAACCATACCTGGGAGCTACACATCTTCAGGTAGTTTCCTATTGGGAGTTTTGCTGTTTGAATCCCCTGTTCTTGCGCTTTCTTCATTGTTATCCCTTTCCACCGGTTCCGATCCACTAACCCACCCACAATGTACATTTTCTTTGGATCAAGTTCGTCCAGCATAGTTTCTGAATCTGCTGTGAGGTATACAAGATGTTCTTTCTGATCTTGAAATGCCTCAATATATGGTTGATTTTCCTTCTCGATTATCCACTTATCAAATCCTGGGAGCCTTAGTAGTTGGCTTTCCATTTCTCCCTGGCACCCAGTCAACCAGAGATGGGCAGGGGAAGCACATCTTCCATTTACCGCGTAACAATACATAATCTGAATGTTTTTGACGACAACAGTTCCATTATAAATCCGTAAACAAGGTACCAATAACTTGAAGACATCCACAAACTTGGTCAACATGCAGCAAAATCATTTATTAAAATAACCCTGAAGAGTATTAAACAAGAGTCCCCCATGAACAGCCATGGAAATTAGAAAATTGGAAGGTCATGTGGAACAATGGAAAGAGGATCAATTAGGCCTCAACAAATAGCGCAACCAGTCCAATAAACATCGCCAAATTTCAGAAAATTACTTTCTACCACAACATACTTGAGCCCATAAAGCCATGACTTACTACAAGCTCAAATGTGTCTGATATATATGGACAAAAATTCCCACAAGAACAGGCATTGCATTTGGAATAACTCAAACTAAAATTCACATAGGCAAAAGATGAAAGCCCCATAGGCAACCAGTCGAATTCTCCAAATCTTAAAGGATTCCTTGCAGATTCAAGAAAGTATTTTGATTGATACCAAACAGATGGTCGTCTACTAGTACTCTTTCTGTGTATTTGTCCATTTTTTCACGTCTTCCCAATTAAGCCACAAATACCTTGCTATAAAGCAAACAGTGCCAAATTTGCAACTTGAGTTGACATCTTCATTGCTTCAGTGTCCCTAATCCCACTCACCTCTCCCTTAGATTCTATGCAGTGAAGTTAGTCATTTTTTTCATTAACAAACACCAAAATTCTTCTTCAAATAGCATAGTAAGTTCAAACAAACCAAATTTCAATCAAGTCGAACCATCCAGTGCTCAACTTTACCCTAAACAAGTGATCCTACATAAGCCATAATCATAAACTTCGAGTCATTTCAAGCATCAAAAGTCATAATCAATCAATCACGATTCACTATGTAGTTCATTCAAAAGGCTTCATTTTTAATTCTTACCCAACTAAATAACAACGTTTTTCAAAAGCAAAACAGAAAAAATTAGACGGCGAGGAAATTAACCTGTTGAACGAGGCTACTGAGCTCGGTAGAGCTCATGAGATGAGANTTTTTAATTCTTACCCAACTAAATAACAACGTTTTTCAAAAGCAAAACAGAAAAAATCAGACGGCGAGGAAATTAACCTGTTGAACGAGGCTACTGAGCTCGGTAGAGCTCATGAGATGAGAGAATTCAAGATCGATCACAATGTTCTGTCCATCTTGTTTCGCCCTGGCAAGCTTCTCTATCTTATTTTCTCTCTCCTCTGATCTCTTCTCCATTCTCTGCTTTCTCAACCCCTTTCTCTCCTCCCTCAGCCTTGACCTCTCGTCTTCCGACAAACTCGAAAGCTTTTCCTCCCATTCTTTCCTCTTCCTCTCGGCTTCTCTCTTCTTCTGTTCTTTGAAAAGGGCCTTCTTCTCTGCTTTTTTTGCTTCGAATCTCTGTTGCTTTAGTAGTTTCTTCTGCGCATTCTTCGACAGTGGTTGCAGGGACGGTTGTGGTGGAGGACATGACGCGGGATTGGCTTTGTTGTCGATGGTGTTTTGGTCATTTCCCTTCGCCTCCATTCTTATTGGGATGAGTTCGAGCTTCGTCTGTATTCTTAGCCTTTTAGGGCTTTTCAGTCTCGAAGTTGAAGAACTGTTCTTATTTCTCGACTAACAATGTTATATAATTTAAATAAAATTTAAAAAATTATAATATAAGTATAAATTATTTGAGTTTTATTAATTTTTATCGTGCTTTATAATTATTTTAATTTATAGGGTTCAACTTTTAACTTTTATTTGAATTATATAATATTTTTTTCTCATTACAAATTTATTTTTAAAATTCACGGGATTTAAAGAATAATTAATTTAAAGTGTATTTTCACTTTAAAAATGTTAGTATAAATAATTTTTTTTTAAAATATCATTCACAATAATGTTTTATATTATTTATGAGATTTATACCACCTCAATTTAATTATTAATCGTATTCTATTTAAGTTCATATGTGGGGGGTAAAACGTGGCGTAACCAGATTTTTGTCTTCAATAGTGAGTCACTTGCCAAATTTTTTACTTGATACATCAAAAAATTATCTATTTTAAATAAATAAATGTTTTTTAAAAAATATTGAATGAATTAGTTGTAGAACTCTTATAGATTAATTCATCAAACAAATAATAATTTCGATCTATTTTTCGCATAATAATTTGAAAACTACAATTTATCATAATTTGAAGTTGTGTATCATTATAATTTTAGTTGAGTCCTATAAAAATAAAAATAAATAATGAGATGCCTAACTTTATTTCATCAATAGTATAAACATAATTTTTTAAACTTCACGAGGGCATGGCCCCTTGTCGGTAACATGGTTCCGCCCGTGCGTCTCATAGCACTTGATGGGTCTGCTCCCCAAGTCCAGTTCAGAAATACGGATTAAACTCAATTCAAATGTATAGATTAAACTCGTCACTGGATCGAGATCGAGGAAGTGCAGTCGGGTCAATCTTGCTATATTGAGAGACTTAGTCAATAATTGACACACAAGAAGATCTTCGTAAGACACAATCATCGAGTGCATAACATCATTTTCACGAAATTATCTCGTCTGTTATAAAAATGACATCATTTTCACCAAATTGTCTTACCTATTGTAAGAATGATGCCTCAATCTGTTACGAGACGTCTTTAAATTATAAGTCTCACCTATACAAGGAAGACATCAGTCACATCTGAGCATTCTATATTCCTTGAGCAATAAAACACTCAGGCCATTATCGCTCTTTATGGTGGAATAGGTCACACTGACTGAACCACTTTAATCTGTGTTTGCTTGTGATGAGTTTCCTTTTTAATTACTGTATTAAATACTTGACAGGCAATGCATAAACGCATTATGTGTATCATCAGTTTAGCACAGTCTGTGGAAGACAATGAATAAACAAGGGAAGACAATGATCCACCACAACTCGACGAGCTCCCGCCCCCGCCAACAAACCCCATCGCTGAGGCAAACCTCGTTGTCAGACCACAACTACTAAAGACGATAAAGTTGTTAGTGAATCAAAATCAACAGATCCTCCAATTGATACTCACTGGACACCCTTAAAGAGTCGTGCCCCTACACCTAAGAGAAGAAACACTCTAGGCACCTTGCCCAAGACACCCCCTTGTAGCGCCAGGGCTCCTTTTCAGTGCTAAGGCACCCCTCCTCAGTGTCAAGGAGCCCCTACTCCCCCTCCTCGCTTGCCAACTTTGTCCTCCCATGCTGGTGACCCTCATTTCCAAGAAAACGAGGAAAAAAACCAGTATGTGGATCACAAGAACCATTATAACCACTCTTTAGATGGTGTTCCTAACAAATAGGACAAAAAAATCAAGAAGGTGCAAAACCAACTAGACGACGTCTTCAACGCCATTAAGGCGCAAATGCCGAACATAGTTGAGTACCTTATAAGGCGTATTGACACGCCAGTCTTGGTTGATGTGGCCAACTACCCTCTCCCCTTAAACTTCAAAATGTCAACTGTAGAAAGTTTTAACGGCTCAAAAGATTCACTGGACCATTTTGACGCCTATAAATCTCTCATGTAGCTGCATAACATACCAAACAACATTATGTACATAGTTTTTTCTACCACCTTTAAGGGATCTGCACGTCAATGGTTCGCCAAACTTAGACCAACTTCCATTAATTCTTTCGCTCAACTAATCAAATCTTTCGTCTCCCACTTCATAGGGGGACACCGACATTAAAAGCTTGTTACCCAATTGCTGAGTATCAAGCAAAATTAAAACAAAAATTTTGAGGAGTTACCTCACTCATTTTAATGGGGGAAACCCTTTAAATTGAAAAGGCATATGACCAAGTCACCATGCCTGTCTTTATCGCAAGTCTACGCTCATTCAATTTTATGTTCTCAATTATGAAGAACCCGTCAAAGAACATGCTACAATTACTATCAAAAAGCCCAAAAATACTTCAACGTTGAGGATGTTGCCAAAACAAAGCGAGTTAATTCCTCACGTGGAGGGGAATACGAAAAGTATAGACACCCACTTGCTTGACTTTTTAATATAATCCTCCATATCATTCAACAAATGTTCTAAGTAGTTGCCTATTATTCCCTGCTTTTTTCTCTACTTTGTCAAAAACTATTCCAATAAGATGATTACATTTTATTGTCACAAAGTCTTGAAAATGATAGTCTCTCCATTATTGTCGAATTCTCCACCCAAGCCAAGACCATTATCGCGCGCCCTCATGCCTCCACGCCTCTGCTCTCGATGTTCGCGCCCTCTGGCACTCGCGCTCACCTTTGGTGCCCCTTGCCTTAACACCTACTTACTCGCCCACCTTAACACCAGCTTGTCCAGCAATACTCGCATTCTACTGGCTCTATCTCGCTAGCGCCTATGCCTCCGGCACAATGCCTCATTGCCTACATTAGTGCACATTTCCTGCCACCCTCGTCCTTTGGCTATCCTCACTTCCATCTCTCTCTTTCTCTCCATCTTGTGGGATTGAGCCTCCCAAAAACTCTGCCTACCACAAAAAATGGGGGTAGACCAACAGAATAATTTTTAGTATTTTACAAAAATCGGGTAAGAATGTGGAATACCCACAAAAATTATGATTCATACCCGTATATATGTGTGTGTGTGTTGATATGTGCTTGATATGATTTAGACTTAAAACAGTTGTTATTATATTTGTGCAATAATTGTGATGTATTAATGTTTATGACTTTTTTGTTTGTGTTTTATGGTAATCCTTTATATATTATTGAATTTATTATATTTTTTTTAGTGTTATTGGTTTATTGTGTTGGTTAATTGTTGCAGGTTACTTAATTGAGTTGTTTAAATGATTTAAAAATTAATAACTAAAAAATATATGTTCACTCGATTTTTTACCCAACTTCCTACTCCAATTGTTTTGGATAAAATTAAAGTATAAATATTACACTTAATCGGGTAGGGTTAATCAAGAAAAAATTATTCTACAAAGTATTGGATATGAATATGAAATACCATAATTTATATCCATAGGGTAGGGTGAACACCTACATTTAGCACTCGCACCCAATTTACAATTGTCTCGATCGCAGAGATACCAGTGCCCACTAACTATGAGTCACATATCCCAACATTAACTAGACAGATTTGATGTTTCTCCAAATATAGCTTGGATGCAGCTCCCAAAGAGGGGTGTGGTAGTTAAGGCAAAAAAGGGCTCCCAATGTTCATGATTGTAACTGGTCACTACGGGACCATGACCTCAAGGGGGCATGTGCACGATATTTCTAGCATGTTCCTACCTGAAGTCCTCCCGTCCTTTTCTAATCCTTCCTCAAGCCCTTTGTCATGATGTCTCGATNGGGCTCCCAATGTTCATGATTGTAACTGGTCACTACGGGACCATGACCTCAAGGGGGCATGTGCACGATATTTCTAGCATGTTCCTACCTGAAGTCCTCCCTTCCTTTTCTAACCCTTCCTCAAGCCCTTTGTCATGATGTCTCGATAAAGAATTACCATATAGTTTCAAACCTTCAGCCACAATCTATATGTCTCATTATCTCATATGTTGATTTGGACCAATGACCTTAGTTACCTTAGGAGTCACTCTAGATCCCAATGCATGTCCTAGTGGGTGGTGCTGTGAAGACCCTGCCCCATTACCGGGACCCTGTCTTCCAAGGGTTAACCTCCCATTACCGGGATATCACCACCCTCCACCAAAGGATTTCGGCTAACCTGTGGGTCAAACCCCCACAGTAGCCTTTACCTCTGTCCCACATCGGGGAAAGAGTCGTCTCCCCACCCCCATATAAGCCGAAGCACCATATGAGAGCAGTACCCAAGTACCACAGTGTGCTACTTGGGTACTGCTCTCATATGGTGCTTCGGCTTATATGGGGGTGGGGAGACGACTCTTTCCCCGATGTGGGACAGAGGTAAAGGCTACTGTGGGGGTTTGACCCACAGGTTAGCCGAAATCCTTTGGTGGAGGGTGGTGATATCCCGGTAATGGGAGGTTAACCCTTGGAAGACAGGGTCCCGGTAATGGGGCAGGGTCTTCACATAAAAGGCGCCTTTTGTGTGAAGACTCCTCCCATTACCGGGATGTAGGTCTTCCAAGAGCATTACCGCCCTCCACCAAAGGATTTCGGCTAAAGCAGGACGCCCCCCACAGTAGCCTTTACCTCCGTCCCACATCGGGGAAGGAGTCGTCTCCCCACTCCCATATAAGCCGAAGCACAATATGGAAGCAGTACCCAAGTAGCACACTGTGGTACTTGGGTACTGCTCTCATATGGTGCTTCGGCTTATATGGGGGTGGGGAGACGACTCTTTCCCCGATGTGGGACAGAGGTAAAGGCTACTGTGGGGGTTTGACCCACAGGTTAGCCGAAATCCTTTGGTGGAGGGTGGTGATATCCCGGTAATGGGAGGTTAACCCTTGGAAGACAGGGTCCCGGTAATGGGGCAGGGTCTTCACAGGTGCACCACGCACTGGGAGGCCTGCTCGAGCATGTTAGACAATTAAGACCTTCCCCCCCCGGTTGCTCAATTATCTCTTGAGGAGGGTTATACTGTCCTATTCGTAGGTGAGGACCCATCCTCTTAGTCCACTAGTTCAGCAAAGCAACAGTGTCCATTAGATTGAGGATATTAATTCCATCAATTGTGAAGTTTTAACTTTGTGCCTTATTTCTGTAATGAGGGAGGTGAGTCACACCAAGGTTGCTTTCATACCTTTGTGGATTTCGCCACTTACAATGTGACGAGAATGTGTTTTGCTCTTCGTGGTACTGGTGCCTATTGCAATATTGTTATCCATACCAACACATTGTCAAACTCTACCACCATGTCAACTCATAATTCATGTCACTTGTCCTTCTATGCTATTGACAAGTGTCATTAATTTATTGGNCTGTGGTACTTGGGTACTGCTCTCATATGGTGCTTCGGCTTATATGGGGGTGGGGAGACGACTCTTTCCCCGATGTGGGACAGAGGTAAAGGCTACTGTGGGGGTTTGACCCACAGGTTAGCCGAAATCCTTTGGTGGAGGGTGGTGATATCCCGGTAATGGGAGGTTAACCCTTGGAAGACAGGGTCCCGGTAATGGGGCAGGGTCTTCACAGGTGCACCACGCACTGGGAGGCCTGCTCGAGCATGTTAGACAATTAAGACCTTCCCCCCCCGGTTGCTCAATTATCTCTTGAGGAGGGTTATACTGTCCTATTCGTAGGTGAGGACCCATCCTCTTAGTCCACTAGTTCAGCAAAGCAACAGTGTCCATTAGATTGAGGATATTAATTCCATCAATTGTGAAGTTTTAACTTTGTGCCTTATTTCTGTAATGAGGGAGGTGAGTCACACCAAGGTTGCTTTCATACCTTTGTGGATTTCGCCACTTACAATGTGACGAGAATGTGTTTTGCTCTTCGTGGTACTGGTGCCTATTGCAATATTGTTATCCATACCAACACATTGTCAAACTCTACCACCATGTCAACTCATAATTCATGTCACTTGTCCTTCTATGCTATTGACAAGTGTCATTAATTTATTGGGTGCTACAATGAGATAAATATGTTTAATTTCTTGAAATTAAATTATTTATATTTGATCAATGAGTCGTTATTTTTGATTATTAATATTCTTCTAGGAAAGGTTTCACCTGAAAAATAATACAAGGGCTAAATTCGTAGTATCTAATGAGGGAGTGGTATGTCAGTTTCCTTACATGACCTCCCTCCTGTATTCTCTTCCAAGTATGGTACTGTACCATGTCTGTGTACCATGACTTTTGCGTTAAGTCCTGCGTCTCAGCTTTTAGTATCCACATTACAATTAACTCAAAGTTACGTGCCTTTTTTTTGTGCGTGAGATTTTTTTTAGGTAAATGTGTGTCTAATATTCAAATGAATTATTTTTTAAGATTAGTAGATGATCTAATGGTTATTGTTTTTACGGTTAGACTTTAGAGTTGCGAGATCAAATCTCGTTGTCCCTTTGTCTTGTAATGCTTTATGGTTCAAAAAATGAGCTCATAAGTTCATCTATATTAAAAAGAAAGTTGTACATAAAAATTTTTTATGAATCATTCTTCAACGGTTATTTTAGTTTTGAATATAAAAATTAATTATTGTAGTATCGAAATACAAGGATAATTATTCGTATATAAAAAACCAATAAACAATGCATATTTGATTGAACCTCTCTTCCTTAAAAAATAAAAAAAAGGAAACGTCAAATTGAAGAGCATAAGCACTTGTGGGGGTATATGTGAAAATATGCTAAACTAAAGGACTATGAAAGGAAAGTAAATCTATGGGATAAATAGGTGCTGAAGTCAAGAGTAAGATTTGGCTTATTTCTGACCCTCTTCTTTACGTATTGGGAGTTAGTTCCGCTTCTTTGTTCGAAACCCCTTTTTTCAGCTCAAACACTTCGTTGCTAAATAAATGGTCCTCAAAGAGCTGGTCTAGCTCGGAGACCAACCCAAAAAACCATGGCTCAGAAGCTTCAACAGCAGCTCAAAGATGTCGGATCGAAGCTCGAGAACCTTCCTACCACCAAAGACACTCTCATAAAGCTCTTAAAGGTTCTCATTTTGTTCAATTTTTAACTCCTTGTTAATTCTATATTGACTTGTCTCTCGATGCTTTTTTCGTGCTGTTTCTTGTATATTGTTAGTTCAATTTGTTGTTGGTGCTTGAGAACCCTTTTTTTTGGGGTGAAAGACATGGTTTTGACGGAAGGTCTGAGGGAATTTAACTGAATTAGGGCTGTTTTTGCTTACTGTTTTGCCTTATTTCTTGGGGAAGAATGTGATAGAAAATAAGAGGAATTTTAGTCTTTCCTTTTTTTGGTCAAATTGTGGAGTTTATTCCGGTGAACTATGAAAGGGAAAAAAAACCTCTTTGCGCTTTCTTTCTTTTTATTGGGAAAGAAATTCTGTTGAAGCTGATAGTTATCAATTCAATGAAGAAGAAATCCAGTTTCGGGAATTCTACAGACATACTGTTTCACCGTTTGCTTAGGGGCCATACCCTATGCTAAACCGCAAGTCATTGGGTGATTATGCCAATACGTTTTCTCGTTCAATTCTTATTTTTTTTATTTTTCTATTGTTTTGTTTTTAATGAATGCGTTCTATTGAACCCTTAGTGATGGAAAATGAGAATCTGTGCAGACTAATAATCATGGATACTGATCTTGATATGAAAGAAGGGTTCAATGAGATGGTGATATGACAATACTTGAAAAAATTGGATACAGATATGAGTAAGAATTAAGGTGCATCCACAATAAAATATAGCAATGGTTTTACTCTTTTCTAACTGTTAGGTAGTTATAATTTTCTATTTATTTTTCATAGCAATTCGAATATTAAGCAATTTTTACATTCAGAGAAGCATATATTGTTTCGTCATGGTAAACTCACAAGTTAACAAGGGTAAGGAATTGAATCTAAATCAACATTTATCTGAGCAATGCTATTGAGACTTAAAAGTTTGATCTAATAATGTGACAGTGACATATTCCAATAGTGTTGTCGTGACTATATACCTCTTGAACTTCCTTATTGGAACTCCATCTCTTGACACATCATTATGTTCGCAAATTAGATCAATTTTTTAGGTCATAATAATATTATTTATTTAACTAACTGGTTAAGTTAGAAGTACTTGTTTCAAGAGATAGAATATACTTGAAGTAGTTTGTCTTTTTGACTATAGTAGTAGATAATGCTTAAGAACCACCCACACATCTTCAACNATTTAACTAACTGGTTAAGTTAGAAGTACTTGTTTCAAGAGATAGAATATACTTGAAATAGTTTGTCTTTTTGACTATAGTAGTAGATAATGCTTAAGAACCACCCACACATCTTCAACGCCATGTGAATTTTTCAATAAGAAAAGACAAAGATTTAATTTAAAAAATTTACATATTGTTATGCGTATCCATTTCCTTATCTTAATGATATTTGTCTTGGACCCATATCCGATACGTATTGAGAAATTAAAATATAGTTTGTTAATTGTTGGACAAGTATGTCATACATGATACGGATTCTGAGTATTTGATGAGTGTGACGTAGGTTTTTGAGTCAATCCACATAAATTTGTGTTTTGTTTTTCTACATCGTTCCGTTCATTATTTGTTTATGGCCTTTGTTCATAACAAAATAGTATTAGAGCCATGATTTCAGGATAACTGTCTACAACAAAATTCAAAGTACAAAATTTGGTGATCAAAACAATTTTAGTCTACGATAGATCTAAATATGTGACGTTGTTGTGGTGGAATCGTTTGACAAAAGTTCTTGATATGACAATGTGATTAATTTGTTATTGTGGAGAAAACAATTGAACAAGTGCACTTTATTAATTGACTTGGAATTTGTTCTCCTTAGGGAATTAGAAGGTGGGTGTATTGGAATTCCATTTTAAGTAAAAGACCAATTAGAAACCCTATTGTATTTGTTGTGGTGTTTTATATTTCACTCCTAGTAGGAAACTGGTTTGGAATTTGTTCTCCTTAGAGAATTGCAAATGTGGATGATTTAGAATTTCACTTTAAGTAAAAGACCAATTAGAAATTCTATTGTATTAGGAGACAAAACACTTTGGGTCTGTAAATAGATTAAAGACCATTCAGTTTCTTTTAGGAATTTTTGCCCCCAGTTTTGGGCATCCATGTTTGGTTTTGTTCTGTTGGTTTAGATTATTTTGTGTAATCTTCCTAAGTTGATAATGAAACTTTGTTGCAGTGTTTTGCCAGTCGATGTAGGTTTTTGAGCCAATTCACATAAATTTGTTCTATATCTTTTTATTTTATTCCGTTTATTATTTGTTTGTCGCCTTTGTTCATAACAAACTAGTGTGAGAGCTACGGTTTTGGGTTGGCTACAATATAATTCAAAGTAGAACAATTTCAACTTAGGGCAGATCCAGATACGTGACGATGTTGTCATGAAATTTTTTAACAAAAGTTTTTGATGAGACACTTTGATAAATTTTCTATTGTGGAGAAGAGAACAAGTTTGTTCGCTTTTGTTTGCAATATTTGTTCTATTAATAACTTAGAGTGCACACAAGTCACAAGTCATGATGGAGATTTGTTATGGATGTTTGCAATATTTGTTCTATTCCCTTATGGGAATTGTGGAGACGACAACAAGTTCGTTCGCTTTTGTTTTGATGCATGATGGAATATAAGCCAAGGTGGAGATGTGGTGTCTTGTATTCCACTCCTAGTATGAAACTTGTTTGAAATTTATTCTCATTAGGAAATTAGAAATGTGGATGTCTTCAAATTTCACTTCAAGTAAAAGACCAATTAGAAACCCTATTGTATTAAGAGGCAAAGTATTTTGGGTCTATAAATCGACTATAGACCACTTAATTTCTTTTGGGAATTTTGGCCCTTAGTTTTAGGTATCCATGTTTGGTTCTATTCCCTTTATTAGAAAATTGTGTGTAATGTCCATTTGTTGATAGTAAACTTTGTGCTTCCCCAGTTGACGTAGGTTTTCGAGCCAATCTACGTAAATTTGTGTTTTTTTTTTCTATTTCGTTCCATTTATTATTTGTTTGTGACCTTTGTTCATAACAGTATCAGTTACAATATGGGTACTTAGACACGGGGGATCCATGCTTAATAGAATACACCTGTCTTTCATTTGCCCAAGACTACCTTGCATTTATTAATAGAATACAGAATGTATTGATTTTTGAATCTCGCCACAGTTACCGATGCCTTACATTCATTCAAGTTTCTGTTATTTTGGGTTGACTCAGCTGATATACTGGTTGACTAGTTGGTCAATTATGACTTCCAAATACTTCTTTGACTTGCAGCAAGCAGCAACATGTCTTCCCGATTTGGATCAATCACCTCCAAAATCAGNGACTCAGCTGATATACTGGTTGACTAGTTGGTCAATTATGACTTCCAAATACTTCTTGACTTGCAGCAAGCAGCAACATGTCTTCCCGATTTGGATCAATCACCTCCAAAATCAGTATTGGAGTCCATGCAGCCTTTTCTAAATGCAATAGTTAAGCCAGAACTGCTAAAGCATCAAGATAGGGAGATTAAACTTCTTGTAGCAACCTGTATATGTGAGATAACCCGGATCACTGCTCCTGAGGCTCCATACAGTGACGATGTTTTAAAGGTACTTTTCTCTTTCAAAAACAAAGCAAATAATTCACTTAGTGGCTTTTGTGTGTGCTTTTTGTAAGTATAGGCCCTACTAATTGCTATTGAATCTGTTTTCAGGATATTTTTCATTTAATTGTAAGCACCTTTAGTGGGTTAAGTGATACCAGTGGTCCAGCTTTTGGAAGGAGAGTTGTCATTTTGGAGACTCTGGCAAGATATAGGTCGTGTGTTGTGATGTTAGATCTTGAATGTGATGATCTAGTGCTTGAAATGTTCAGTTCATTTTTGGCTGTTGCCAGGTATGTTTTGTTTGATAAATTATGTGTTTATTAGTTACAAGGATAATACCATCTCATTTACTCAATTCTCTATCAACAACTCACTAATTTTATCAAGATATTGTGATAGTTTGTTCAACTTTTTGGAGTCTTTTTATTATTCGCTGCATTTGTGAATTGCAAGTAGGCTAGGTGAGCTTGTTGTCTTCTGCCAGTGGGTTATTCCTTTCAGTGGGGTACTTTGTCGGTTATCCTTTTCTTATTGTCTCCTAAGACATGAAGTAGGAAGGGACATAAAAAGCTGAGGCAGATAAGCCATTGTTTGATGCATACATTAGTCGAATCTCACTTCTTAGCTGACTTCATAGCTGTTTAAGTTTTAGATCACTGCATGGAAACAGTTAGTATTTCCTTGGATTCCTTTCTTAGGCTGCCACTGGATACAAGAGTCTCTCACAAATTTTATTTCTTGAATTCCTAATGAATTTAAACATGAATATAGTTCTTCTGAATATGTCATTTGGATATTCATTTTTTAAATTGGATTCACATTTTAAACTTACCCACACTGAATTGGACCCATCTAATAGCCCTCTTGTGAATGGACTCGCACACTCATAAGTCATCACTATTGCACTCTAGAAGGCAGCATTATTTACTTTCATGGGTATGCAGCTACCGTACCATACAGAGAAGAAGTATTTAGCTCATTAAATCAAAGGGGATAATGGATTCTATAAGAGTATATTCATTGCTTTTGTTTATGGTAAAAATTCGCTGTTATCAATATCCATACCGATTCCTTTTGGGTTGTTAATTTATAGTGATTTGTGGAGTAAATAATAAATTCTTCATTTAACTTTATCTGATATCACGAATTGCTGGACCTATGTTTGCTGGACCTACTTTTGCTGACTAATTTGTGTATTTTAACTCCACATATGCAGTGATGAGCATCCGGAAAGTGTTCTGACATCAATGCAAACGATTATGGTTGTTCTCTTAGAAGAGAGTGAGGATATTCGGGAGGATCTTTTGCTTATTTTACTGTCTGTTTTAGGTCGGAATAAAAAAGTAAGCACTTCTTAATGTGTAAATGCACTTACTTTCTGTCACTTTTTCATTAGGATACTGTTACATTTTCATTAGGATGCTGTTACATTACATTTACTTTGTTGGTGTAATGTTTGAAAATCATTTAGAGACAATTTGCGTTAACGGTTGAAATTTTTGGCTAGGATATTACAATGGCTGGACGGAGGCTTGCTATGAATGTTATAGAGCATTGTGCTGGAAAACTTGAACCTGGGATCAAGCAGTTTCTCATGTCATCAATGTCTGGAGACAGCAGGTCTTTGAAGCGTGAAATTGACTACCGTGAAGTCATCTATGATATCTATCGTTGTGCTCCTCAGATCTTATTAGGAGTTGTTCCATACCTAATAGGAGAACTACTGGTATTTACAGAATCAGTTTCTTACTTCCCTTGCCTCTTCGTGTATACGACTATCAACTACACCAAAAACTTAAGTTGTTAGAAATAGGCCTAACAATATGTATTGACCTCTCAACTACACCGGATCCCTACTGAAATATGAGGAGACATCGATATGCAGAAATTGAACTATCCATTACTCCAGAGGTTAATATGTTCTACAATGGGCCTAACAGTGTCTATCAAGCTCCCACCACTCTGTTGATTCCTATTGACACATGGAGTTGTGGAGGAGACAGACAACCAATCAATGAACAAATGGAACCTGAATGGGGTGCATAATAACTGTGCACAAACAGTGAACCAAATGCAGGCGAAGAGAATTTAGCTAAAGACCTCGTAGAACCAAAGCTTTTATGTCTTTCCTGACGACCAATTACTTCAAAAACTTAATTTGTAGGGGAATAGGCTCGAAAATAAATTGTGGATAGGCCTGTTAATGTATATGAGCTCCCAATGGTTCATGCCATTCTATTTGGTCAAATATCCTTTAAGTTCGTTGGTTTCTTTAATACGACGTGAAAAGTATGTAATGGGTGAACTTTTTATGTTCTTTGGAAGATCTAATTATTTCTGTTGCAATATTTCGCATTACAAGGGCATAGAAAGTTTGGGTTCAATTTATGTAGTATGAGTTTTATCTTCTTTTCCTTTTCCTCATTGTTTAGGGGTTCGGTGTTGGTGTATGACTTAAAAGTATTTACACGTCTCCTTAAAATCTTTATGTACTTCATTGNTCAATTTATGTAGTATGAGTTTTATCTTCTTTTCCTTTTCCTCATTGTTTAGGGGTTGGGTGTTGGTGTATGACTTAAAAGTATTTACACGTCTCCTTAAAATCTTTATGTACTTCATTGTTATGTCATCGTAGGAAGTCAAAATTAGTCCAGGCATATCCTCTGATTTATGATGCTGTTATGTTATGACATTGACATACAGTTTCTTATTTTTTAAGTTGTGACATCGACAGACTGATGAGCTGGACGTTCGTTTAAAAGCAGTGGGATTAGTTGGGGACCTTTTTGCTCTCCCGGGATCTACAATCCCAGAAACATTTCAGCCAATCTTTATGGAGTTTTTGAAAAGGTTGACTGACAGGGTAGTTGAGGTTAGAATGTCTGTCCTCGAACATGTCAAGATATGTCTTCTGTCAAATCCTTTTAGGGCTGAAGCTTCTCATATCATCTGTAAGGGTCTTTTGTGTTAGTTCGCTTTAGTCAATTTCATGCATTTTACATCTCTGGTTTTGACATGGGTGAATCATTTTCTAGCTGCACTTGNGTTTCTTATTTTTTAAGTTGTGACATCGACAGACTGATGAGCTGGACGTTCGTTTAAAAGCAGTGGGATTAGTTGGGGACCTTTTTGCTCTCCCGGGATCTACAATCCCAGAAACATTTCAGCCAATCTTTATGGAGTTTTTGAAAAGGTTGACTGACAGGGTAGTTGAGGTTAGAATGTCTGTCCTCGAACATGTCAAGATATGTCTTCTGTCAAATCCTTTTAGGGCTGAAGCTTCTCATATCATCTGTAAGGGTCTTTTGTGTTAGTTCGCTTTAGTCAATTACATGCATTTTACATCTTTGGTTTTGACATGGGTGAATCATTTTCTAGCTGCACTTGGTGACCGGCTGCTAGACTACGACGAAAATGTCCGTAAACAAGTTGTTGCTGTATTGTCTGATGTAGCATGTCACGCTCTAACTTCCATTCCGGTTGAAAATGTAAAGCTGGTTGCAGAGCGCCTTCGAGACAAATCTGTACATTTGCACATTCCTTTGGTTGTCCCTTTTTGTTAAAAACTTTCCAGTGCTTGTTTACCTACTATTCTAATAATCATCTTTCTGTAACTCCAGCTTCTTGTCAAATCATATACAATGGAGAGGCTAGCTGAGATATACCGAATTTATTGCTTGAACTGCTCTGATGGGTCTATTAAAGGAGCTGAGTATGATTGGATTCCTGGGAAGATTTTGAGATGTTTTTATGACAAAGATTTCAGGTAACTTATTATTTGGCAGCTGTGGAGGATTGAATTCTTGCTTGTTTGGAGGAGAATATATTTAGATATCTATTATCTGTAGCAAAATGATTCTCCTTTCTTTTTTTTTTTTTTGCCCTTTTTACTTTTTTGATGTAGAAAAGGATAAATCTTTGCCGTAAAAAAAAAGGCACACAACGGGTGCCAAGTAAAATGCGACCCTATAATGGGTAGTTTGCTAAGTCAACACCCTAATACAGTCTTAAGCGGATCATCTAATTCTAAGTCTTTATTTCCAGACAATCTATCAGGTGGCGGGGTTTCTGCCTTAGAACTATCTTCTTGAATCATGTGATTGAACACGTGGGTTCTTTTCTGCAGATCAGACACGATTGAACCTATCCTATGTGCATCCTTATTCCCAAATGAATTCTCTGTCAAAGATAAGGTTGAAAATTGGATTAGAGTGTTCTCAGGATTTGACAAAGTGGAGGTTAAGGCTCTCGAGAAGATAATGGAGCAGAAACAAAGGTTTGTTATGAATGCTTGGTTTTGACATTATGCATCTCAACATGGTGTTTATGGATTTCCTGTATTTTTATTTTATTTTATTTATTTAATACTCTTTTGTGCTAGTTTTAAGGGAAATTCCTACTGGATTGCAGGTTACAACAAGAGATGCATAGATATCTTTTGCTTCGGCAGATGTATCAGGTTTGCAATCCTTGAATAATAGAATACAATTCAATGGCAGGTAAAAAAAAAAAAGAAAAGGAGCCGTTTACAAAAAAAATAAAAATTCATTTCTATCCAAATGCAGGATGGTGATGCTTCTGAGATTCAGAAAAAAGTGATTTTCTGCATTCGAATTATGTCCCGCTGTTTTACTGATCCTGTGAAGGCAGAGGAGAATTTTCAGTTTCTTGATCAATTAAAAGATGCTAACATTTGGAAGATCTTAACTATGCTCCTGGATCCCAACACTAGCTCTATTCAAGCTTATAGTTCTCGGGTAAGGAAGTAGACCACGGTCACTCATTCTTTCTTTAACGAAAGTTGAAAAAATTACATAGATATAATTGTTAAGCAACCATCTACTCCAAAAACTTAAGCGGTTGGAGAGGGCAACAATCTATTCCAAAAGTTTAAGCTGCTGGAGAGAGTATAAGTTCAGTATTTATACTTCAACAATAGTGTATGTGTGATTATCTTTTATGCAAGACTATCCTTTTTTAGGATGATTTGCTTGGAATCCTTGGCGAGAAGCATCGACTCTATGAGTTTTTGAGCATACTCTCTATCAAATGCTCATATTTTCTTTTCAACAAGGAGCACGTCAAAGAAATCCTTCTGAAGGCTGACATACAGAAATCTGCTGGAAGTACACAGCTCACTCTGTCTTGCATGAATATACTTGTGGTAAACATCATATTTAAATTTTTGTTCTAGATGGAGTCCTAACGCTTACTGGTGTATTGGCAGCCTTATGTCAAGTGGTTGAGCTGTTGAGTTGTTGACTTGTCTTAGCCATGATGTCAAGGGGTCAAGAATGGGTGTCCTGTGCAAAACCAATGGTGTATGGGCATTGTTTAGTGTTAACCACTAGGCTTTTGATCCGTTGTGGTGCAATTTTTTAGCTACATTATATTCAAAAATTTTGTTTATCATNGGGTCAAGAATGGGTGTCCTGTGCAAAACCAATGGTGTATGGGCATTGTTTAGTGTTTACCACTAGGCTTTTGATCCGTTGTGGTGCAATTTTTTAGCTACATTATATTCAAAAATTTTGTTTATCATATAGATAGATACCTGCACAATTTCATGGGTACATATGTTTTGAATGGGTTACATGCAAACTTTCTATATGGTGCATCACTGATGTACTTGTATTGAGGGGTTGCAGTGGATTTTACTAGCACACAGAGTTGGTGGAATCTGTTGTTATTTATTGGCCAATCACACTAGTTTTTTAAATCACAATTTGATTAGTGAGGATCCATGACCGATCTTGTCCTCTTGTTAATGAAAATCATAATTGTGCATTTGTTTTCAGTATAACTGCAAGTTGGTTTGTAATCATCCTCCACTTTTTGTCTCCCAAATATTTCCAGTCTGTTATTTTATATTTTTGTACGTTGAATTTTTAGATTCTTGCCCGCTTTAGTCCTTTGCTGCTTACTGGGATTGAAAAAGATTTGGTGCATCTACTTGAAGATGACAATGAAGTAATTAAAGAAGGTGTTTTGCACGTTCTGGCAAAGGCTGGTGGGACCATTCGAGAGCAACTGGGAGTTTCCTCTAGGTTACTACTCAACTCAAATTATATCCCAGTTACTTGGTGGCGGCTACATGAATCTTGTTCCTCTATTGTGCTTTATTAAGGGTCATATTTTCTGTGATATGTTAAAAATTGTTTTTTGCTCAGTCAAGATTCTTCCATGTACATGTTCTGAGCACCACACTTTTTTTCTTGCAGTTCATTAGACCTTATGCTGGAGAGGATATGTTTGGAGGGTAATCGAAGGCAGGCCAAGTTTGCCATACATGCACTAGCAGCAATAACAAAGGATGATGGGCTCATGGCACTCTCTGTTTTGTACAAGGTCTCCTATAGCTTTATCGTGAATCACCTATCAGTCTATTCTAATTATGTCATGCTTTACTCTGATTTTTTTTCCCTTGAAATGGTGTTTCTTTCACAATGAACAGAGGCTTGTGGATATGCTAGAGGAAAAAGCACATTTGCCTGCTGTGCTACAGTCTCTTGGGTGTATAGCACAGACTGCTATGCCAGTCTTTGAAACAAGAGAAAGTGAGATCGAAGGGTTCATAAAAAGAAATATTTTAGAGTGCAGTGATGTATGCCCTAAAAAATGCATTGAATTCTTGCAATTTGTTATTGATTTGTTGTTTTAAGCAATTATTTCATCTAAAGTATGCTTCACTCTTTCAGAATGCCGAAGACAAATCAAAAGAATGTTGGGATGACCGAAGCGAACTTTGTTCTTTGAAGGTCATTTTGCGGGGAGTAGTTATATTTAAAATATTTTTGAGAAAAATTACTCTTTTTCCCTAAGTTTGCCCTCAAAATGTGCAACCTTATCAAACACTTTCTGCATTAGGATGAACATCGAACTGTGTTCTGCAGATCTATGGCATTAAAACATTGGTGAAGAGTTATTTGCCCGTCAAAGATGCTCATCTTCGTCTTGGGATTGATGACCTGATAGGAATGCTTAGAAACATACTTTCCTGTGGAGAAATCTCAAAAGATATTGAGTCAGGGTAATGCTAGCCACAAAGGAATTTGAATTTTGTGGTATAGGGGTTTATGATGGAAGTTGAGTTCACTTAATATGAACTGTCTTCTGTTTTAAGAGGTTCTGATGGTCACTCATTGGTTTCTTTTTTCATTTTACAGCTCCGTTGATAAGGCCCATTTGAGGCTTGCTGCAGCAAAGGCTGTTCTTCGTCTTTCAAAGCACTGGGATCATAAGATTCCCATTGATGTCTTTTACTTAACCTTGAGAACTTCTGAGGTGCAGTCCTCACATATTAATGCTTCTCGTGGAAAATCTTGCTTTTATTATTGCACGACTGAAAAAATTCACTCAAAAACTGTCTTGATTAAGGTTTTCTTTTGGTCCATTTTGGCATGTAGGTCAATTTCTCTCAAGTTAGGAAACTATTTCTCGACAAAGTTCATCAATATGTGAGGGATCGACTTTTAGACCCAAAATATGCTTGTGCTTTCTTATTTGATGTTGGATCGCAGCAGCCAGATCTTGAACAGGTATTTGATGCTACACTGAATTTGTTCGTTGTATATCTCCTGGTTCTATTGAAACACATTTCACATCCTTCAGTAAATGAATGGATTTTTGATTTTTTTGTTTAATCTAAGTACTTAAATCACTTGACAGGACAAGCATAAGTTAGGTGACATCATTCAGATGTGTCAGCAAGGGAAAGCACGACAACTTTCGATGCAAAGTGATGGGAACTCCCCTGTGGTTTGTCCGGAGTACATTCTCCCATACTTGGTCCATGGTCTTGCTCATCATTCTTCATGTCCTAATGTTGATGAATGCAAAGATGTCAAGGCATTTGAGCCAATATATAGGTATATCTGCTTTCGTAATTTTTCTGCACGATATTTTACTCTATGGGAAGCCTTGTCTTCCACCAATGCATGCTTAATAGTGTTGGATTCAGGCACAAACGATGTTTGTCAAATGCACTGCATAACTCCAAATTCGGGATACAAAAACTTGCCTATATGAAAGTGTTGAATGTTTTGTGTGAGATGTATACATTGACTTTGTCAACATTTGTATGTAAGCACAGTACTAGTAAGTTTTTTCCTAATTTTTAATCCGTTCTTTCTTCTTCCTCCTACGTTCTTGTAGTGATAAAAATTTCAGAAAGTAGATTTCTTGCAAACATGTATCTGAAAATTAAAAAATATAGCCAAATTGTGCTTGGAAGGCTCTCTGAGGATGTCTGGACCCTTTGATGTTGTGCACTGAATTATGGAAGAGCATTAAGAATGACTGGCGAAAAATATTAGTGTTGCATGATCCAATAGTTCCTTTAACACGGTTTTTTTTTCCAATGCACTCATATGTGGGTTTTAAATGAAGAAGAGACCTGACTTACATCAAGCTTCATGGTTGGTTATTGGGAAATTAATGGTAGTGAAGAAGCTTAGTCCCAACCAAGCGGTGTGTGTGTGAATGTGTGTGTGTGTCAGAGAGAGAGAGAGAGAGAGAGAGAGAGAGAGAGGTGATGGCAGATCGGGGTGGTGGCAATGCATTCGTGGGATGGTTTAACAGCATATTGGTCTTTTTGCCATTTTGTTACTAACATCTTCAAGTCTTTACTGATGAGGGTTGCCAAGTTTATGTTCCATACTTGAGAGGGTCTGTGCGTTTTGGGGACAAACTTTAAAGCGATTGGGTGTAGTTAACCTTAAGGTTTTGAAGTAATATGGTAGTCATTTTATTGAGATTAGAACATGTACATGCACAAAATTCTATGAATGGTCAGGAAATCACTTGAAACTAACTGCTAAAACAAGCAATAATTGGTTTGGTCGAAGGATTCAAATTTTGTTTTACTTTATAGTTTTGGTCAACTTGGAAACAAAAACATTTTGGAAATAGAAAAGATTTGAAAAATTATTTCCAAAACATTCCGAAATACGACGAAACATCCTAAACACCTCAGAACATGGGAGTTTCGATATCTAGCCACTAATTCGTTTCAGTTTGAATTCAAACCGAAATGTCTCGGTCGAAATGAAATGAAACTTTTATCCTTGATCTGGTCTCAAAATCATTTTTGCTGTAAGAGGATTATTTATTGGATTAGAACTAACAGGGGGACAGATGTGTACCATCGAAACTGAAGCAAGTAGAAGCAGTCAGTGGCCAGTGATACTTGATGGCAATCGGCTGCTGTGATCTTATACTTCCATTTGATTGTTGGCTGGGATGGTGTGTTCTAAGTTGAGGTTTTTGCAAAGTTTCCTACTTCATTTAACCACATTGAAGAAACTTGATCAAAAAAAGGACAATGGAGAAGAAATGTGGATGATTGATTGATTTCAGAGGTCCAACATAAATTAGCAGTTGTCATGACTGATTGGTTTTTTGATTACAGATATTGTTAGTCACGTGTATCTTCATAGACCTAGCCTCAAAACCAACTTGTCTTAATAGTATGTATTTTGTAACGTGACAGAGAGATGCAATTCTGGGTAAAATAGCCCCAGAAAAGACGATTTATTCCATAGCTGGAAACAGTTGGTTGTGGATAAATTTATTGAGTTTTGGTTCAATGACACTAAGAATCCTTATTTCCCGTTCTATATTTTTGCAGACAATTGTATTTATTTCTTTCTATGCTGCTCCATGGAGATGAAGACTGTAAGTCAGAAGATGATATTAATAAGGAGAAGGAGAGTATTTCGCTAATTATTGCAATCTTTCAAAGTATCAAGCACTCAGAAGATTTTGTAGACACAACAAAGTCAAAGGTTTGGATCTCCTACTTTCTTTGAATATTCTGTTGATTTTTTGGAGCGTAATTAGGAAGAAATAGAGAATAACAAGAAGAACTCGTAACAAGAAGAATGATGGGAAAAGCTAATACTCTTTAATTGTTGAATATCTACAGAACTCGTATGCAATCTGCGACCTTGGCCTGTTGATCACCAAGCGCTTAGCTAAAAAACAAGATGATCTTCAGGGATTAATTGCATCTGTATCCCTACCTCCAGTGCTGTTCAAAACACATGAGAAGAAAGGAGATAATCCTCTGGTAAGTTCCTTGAGGCTCATTCAACTTCTTTGATACGTATATGCGTGCCCTGAAAAAGAGAATGAGTGACTTACTTCCCAAGGAGAGCCTTCTCTTCTTTCATTTTTTTTTTTGTGGGTATCACGTATCAGGAATTGGACCCAACACCTTATTTAGTAGAAGTTCAACCATTCATTCTGAACCATGATTCTCTGACATGTAGTTCTCAATTGATAATCTAAGCCTAGTACTCTCAAGTATGTTAACCCCAGATTGGTGCTAATGCTTAACCTGATTTCATCTCATGGTCGCTAACATCAACATATGAAGGATTGATTTATCTGTCTTACTTTATTATCTTGCTGTTTATCCACTTGTCCATCTTAACATCCGGTTATTTTTTATTCCCAGATTTTCTGCAAAAATCTCAAATAACTTCACATTTCAACTAGAGATTTTGGCTGCATATACATATAAGTACTTGTCATCAGATATAATGTAAAACATATATTGCAAGTACACCACCTGTCCTATTCCTTTCGTGCAACATCTCTTGCTTCTTCTAAATGGTGAAATCAAGCTAATTAAACTGGCTTCTTTAAAATGTTTCTTGAGAGTGTAGTTTAGTCATTGCTTGATTTATACTTGAGATTTTGCTAAGGTCACTTGACGTGGTTTGCAGATTTGTTTCTTGTTGTCTTACGACCTTGACATTCTTGGCCAAATATCTGAACTTGTCCATCTACCTTCAATCTTGTCAATTGAACGAAGAAGGAAAAGGAAAAACCAAATTAAACAGAAACTTCCTACCTATACACCTAATTATTTCATCAGCAATGTCTTTTAAGATAGGAACTCGGTATTGAACCTTGTAGAAAGCCCAAAGGCAATGGATGTTTACTTTTTATCTTCTCCGGTTTGCTTTATTGTCCCTAGGGGTGTTCACCCTACCCTACGGGTAGGAAATATAGTCTTCCGTTTTTCTACTCGATACTTTGTGGAAGAGTTTTTTCTTGGCCTACCCTATCCAATCACGTGTGGTATTTCTACCAGATTAATCGGGTAGGAAGTTGGGTAAACACTTTTGTAACTATTAATTTTTGGATCATTTTAACAGTTCAATTAAATAAAATGCACCAATATAACAACACAATAAATCAATAACATTAAAATTTAAAACAACTACAATAACAATTATAATAAAATATAAGAAAACTTGAACGTCAATCCATCATAATTGTTACACAAATACAATAACAATTATTTTAAGTTTAAACCATATGAAACACATTAAAATTATAACTGCTCCAATAGATTATCAGTTCATNCGTCAATCCATCATAATTGTTACACAAATACAATAACAATTATTTTAAGTTTAAACCTTATGAAACACATTAAAATCATAACTGCTCCAATAGATTATCAGTTCACAACAAATCATGTAATTTACACAAAAAACTAGTCCATGTGTTTGCAACTCAAACATCCACAACATTAACAATGTTATAATATAAATTATACCACACAAATACTCTTATAATTACTAAAAAAAATATAAAAAAGTTAAAATATATTTTTTACGGGTAGGGTAGGGCAGGAATGCGAAAATTGATGAGTATTCCGCATTCTTACCCGATTTAATCGGAAGAACAAAAAATCTTCCGCATTTCTGCCCGATTTTTGCGGCTAGCCGTTCAGTAGGGTCNTAAAAAAGTTAAAATATATTTTTTACGGGTAGGGTAGGGCAGGAATGCGAAAATTGAAGAGTATTCCGCATTCTTACCCGATTTAATCGGAAGAACAAAAAATCTTCCGCATTTCTGCCTGATTTTTGCGGCTAGCCGTTCAGTAGGGTCGGATAGGGTAGAAAATTGTAGCCAATTGAAAATTTGAACACCCCTAATTGTCCCGGTCATTTAATTCCATCATACATCCCCTTTCTTCTTCTTAATATCAGAGTTTCCTGGTATGCATTATTTACTATACGACTAAATGGTATATGAAGGGGAAGAAAGGCTGGGGAATAGATGTACATGTTAAAAAAAAAAAAATGGATGTACATGTGTGTGAGGGTGTGCACACACTTGCAGTGCATTGGAGCACACCATACAATATCTAAACAGACCAATGCTTAACCATTTTATGTAGAAAATATTCTGTATGATGCCACACTGATGTTTAACTCATGTTAACATATCTTTCATATCTTACATTGTGTGCTCACTTTTCTCAAAAGTATGGTATCATATTTCTGTTAGTTTATTGCTTAGATTGATTTGTCCATCATTCGGTCTTTCACCTTTGTAAATAGGTGCTAGATTAACTCTTGCCCAATCCTCACATCTTTTATTTGTTTTAACAATTTCTATTGAATTTACTCAAATAAAGCGTGATTATATTTCATGTATTTCCTAGCTATATAATACTCGAACAAAGAAAAAGCACTTTCTTCCATCTACTGGAGTGCTAATTGGTGAAGTAACTATTTGGTTTTGGATAGAGATATAGTACAAGCAGATGGTTTGTGTCCTGAATCCTTGCAAGGTCATGGAATTGCGCAAACCAACTCCAAAATTACAATTCAATAGACTTAAAATACACAATAATAATCTACGTATGAAAACTGGAAAAATACTTAAATTACATTTCTGAACTGGACCTGATGGAATTAGAATCAATTGGTAATATAATGAGAGAAAATCAGATACTGCCAGCTTATAGTGTATGTGGTTACTTCCTTTATATGAATCGCTACCATATTTAAAGGTCACGGTATTGTTCGTCGACTAATGCATCGGTTGTGGCGTAGCGAAACAATTCAGACAATTTTTACAAAATGCTAGATAGAAAAAGAAAAAGAAGTTGAACATGGTGAGATCTACACCACATTGAGATGTCGTGGAACGACATGGGTCGATTTGCTGGCGATGATTCAGTCGCATGTGAACTCATAATTTATATGGAACTTGAAACAGGAGCAGAACGGAAGTTTCCGGGTCAGATAACTTAGCTAGGATTGTCAAAATTCGACACGACACAATTAACCAACACGAATTAGACGGGTTTGGGTGATAAACGAGTTGTGTTCGGGTGAGACCTGCCAAACTGTTTATCACACGTTTATCCGTTTAAATAAAATTAATATAATAATAAATTAATAATTATTTTAAAAAATTAGCAAGAAAAAAGAAGTAAAGAAATCAAAAAAAAAAAGAAGTAAAGTAGTAGTTCAAAGATAAAGGAGAAGAGTTGAAGAGCACTTCAAAGGCAAAGGCAAACAAATGTATTTTGTTTTTGTCTTACATTGAAAAATGAGGGGAGATGGGGAGAGTTGAGTTGCCTATAAAAGATAATGACCTCTTGCTTTTATTTTTAAAGCCTTCAAGTCTTTTTTTTCAAAGACAAATGAGAGGAGTTGTAGAGCACTTCAAAGACAAAGGTAAACCAATGTCTTTTGTTTTTGTCCCACATTGGAAAATGAGGGGAGAATGGGGAGGGTGAGTTGCCTATAAAAGATAATAGCCTCTTGCTTTTTTTTTTAAAGCCTTCGAGTCTTATTTTTATAAGATTTGATTTAAAATTCCTTTTTTTTGAGGTAAGTGCAATTAGTAGTAAAAAAAAATAGAGTATTAAAATTTGTTGATATAATTTTTTAAAAATTAAACGGGTTAAACGAGTCACGTCGTGTTGCCCGTTTATTAAACGGGTCGTGTTCATGTTGAGATTTTTTACTCGTTTATTAAACGTGTCGTGTATGGGTTTATACGTTTTTCACCCGTCACCCGTTTAACCCGACACGATCGATACTCCTTAACTTGGCCAAGTTGAACGACTTATACTTTGAACCATGATTGCCATATGAATTTTACCGTGCTATTTTGTCCTTCCCTCTAGATACCCCGGAGGATGGTGATATATTCTGACTTTCAGTCTTTATTCCAAGTGTGTATAATGTATTTTTCGGTTTGTCTAAACAAATTGTTCAATATTTTGTATTTTCTTATTGGAGATGAATGGGTAAATTGTTTTATTAATGCTGTTGAAATTTTTAATAGGTTGATGAAGGGCAGACATGGTTGGCTGACGAGAGTGTCTTGGCTCACTTTGAGTCTCTTAAATTGGAAGCTAATGGAACTGTATATTCTCCTGCTCAATATTGCTTTCAGCTACATTAGAAATCATGGTGACATTTTTTGCATTTTCCACCTCAGCTAACATCTTTTTCTGCTACTTTATTACATCAGGTTCATTCAGAAATTGCTGAGGATGAGGTTCTGAAAGACAGTGAAACAGATGGAAATGAGGTTCCTTTGGGAAAAATGATAAAACGTCTAAAAGCCAAGGGTGCCAAGGCAAGAAAAGATATTAAAAACAAGTCTGTACCAGCTGGAGCAAAAAATGAATATGATGTTGATATCTTGAATATGGTGAGGGAAATAAATCTGAGTAATTTGGACACACCAACTAAGTTTGAAACAAGCAATGGCCATGACGATGCTGCAATAAAAACTAAAACTGATCAAAAGCATGAAAAGAGGAAAATAATGGCTAGTGTATCAACAAATGTTCCTGTACCAAAACGCCGGAGGTCATCAACTGCTCATAGTCCTTACAGATTGTCTCTCCAAAAGGGCATTTCGCAAGGTTCTACGCGGGCTTCAGTTGATAATTTGTCTCAGGATGAAGTGTCCTTATTTGATTCCATTGAAATGGACGAGGACCTTCATATTGGTTCAGAAGGTAACATCTCTTCACAAGTAAATATGACTGATCCAACAGAGTCAGATTTGTTGGCGTCTTGCTTTCGGAAGAATTCCAGCTTGGCATCAAGACATAAAGGGAAAGATTCTGATAAGAATCATAATGAGGTACATGGAGTTGGAGAAACTGATGACAATGATTTAAAAGTAAGCATTCACACTGATGAAGTGATTTGAGAGCCACGTGTCTAATAGNGCTTGGCATCAAGACATAAAGGGAAAGATTCTGATAAGAATCATAATGAGGTACATGAAGTTGGAGAAACTGATGACAATGATTTAAAAGTAAGCATTCACACTGATGAAGTGATTTGAGAGCCACGTGTCTAATAATTTTCTCATTGGTGATTTTAAGTTTTTGTGTTTCTTTCCTTTCTCTCTTGCAGAAGTTTAAAAAGCTTACAGAGACTGAGAGCACACATGCAATTAGTAATTTGAAGTCAGGATCTGCCAAGAAGAGGAAAAGAAGAAGTATTGCAGGGTTGGCGAAGGTCAGTCTGTTATTCCATGCTTATTTAATAAAGATATTGTGCTTTTTGTTGGAGTCAGCCATGTGTCGGGCTGCTTTTATTTTGGATCAACAGTTGCTGAATTTATAGTAATGCTTACCTGGAGGATAAGATTTGTGATTTGCAAGTGGAATTTAATCAAACTCTCATTTCCATATGCTGCCATCGATTGGATTATGGTTATTTGCGCATCCTTGGTATACAAGGAATAATTTGTACAAACTTCGGCCAAACTGGATAGCCAAAGGTAGTGCTGGTAACATCTTTTTGTAAATGAGGTTTGAATTTATCGACTTAAGCTTTTATATCCTTTTAAATTTTAAGCAAGTCTACAAACGTTTTTACTCAGTCTTTCTATTATAATAAATGATCTCTGTCCTTTATTATTGAGAATGTGACCTCCATTATATGAAAGCAGTTAAAATGTTAAATATAGCCAAGGAAGTTTGACTGATTACATCATCGTGAGTCTGGATGGAAGGTAACAAAAGTTATAAATCCAAATTAGAAATGATAGAAGCGGAACACCAAAAAGAAGGATTCGTAAAGTATCAGTGAAAATAATGTATTCTTTTGGTATACATTTTCTCTTGTATGTCTATGGTGTGCCACAATCTCCATCAACCACCCTTAATTTTATGCTGATCGGCGTCTATAAACTTAAACTTTTAGAGCTTCCGGTTGCTGAGCTAGTATATTAGTGCGAGTTGTAGGAAGGGATGTTTTGTGGAGGGGAGTTTGGTCAAATGTGATGTAGCATGTTGATGTAAGTACCTTTTTACACATTTTCTGTCAATCTTAGCTTCTAGTTGGGTTGTTGGTTACCGTTTACTTTCCCTAATAAAAATTTCTGAATCCCAGGCAATAAAGCAAGAGTTGGGCCTTTGTTCCATTGTTTATACTAACTTTTTGAAGGTTTCTGTGCTTATTCAGAATTTGAAAGCTCTGATGGCTTCATGTATAACAAATGCCATTTGTTGACATGCCATTTTGTTTTTGCCACAGTGCACATCGAAGGAAGGTGGAACCACGGACTTGATTGGGTGCAGAATAAAAATCTGGTGGCCAATGGATAAACAGTGAGTGCTGTGCTAATTTAGATGAGTAAAAAGTAGACTTGATGCCACTACACCAAATGAAAAAGTGGAAAGAATATACTTAAAATCAAAGTGTGGGAATACTGCCTGCTCCTATGTGTCATCTTTTCTGTCTAAAATTGGATTTTGTCGGCTTTTTTTCATGTATTCTCAAGGTATCCCATATCTTAGGTTCGCTCTAAGCTTTGAGTGTGGGCATGATTTTTATTCATACCGTTCAACATACTGAGCGTTATCAAACACTTTTCTAAATCTGTGCATTGCCTTTTTCTTTTCCGTCTTTTTTATTTTTTTGGGTCTGGGGCCATATCAATATTATTTACCACAAGTCCAATAAGCATTCCATTTACATACCAATTCCTTCAGATTCTTTGATCTGCACTATGTTTCAAAACCATCTCAAACCACTCTCGTTCTTTTTAACCGACTCTAGCCACTCATATTTTTGTTGGTGATCCTATTTTGTAAACCTTTCCTAGTCCCTCCTCTTCTCTCTTTTTTCTGGTTCATTTTGTTGGATCATTACCTACCAGGTATAATATCATCCTGCTTTTTTGGAGTACATTATTCAGACACTGAGTTCCACCTACTACTGATCCAAAAAGGGGCAATCCTTGATTAGTTTGTTATAGTGTGCTTTCTTTTGTTGTGGTTCTTACTTTATAGCGAGTATGCTGCTGTGAGAGTACTGGCTTCATGTATATTGTTGATAATGTCTACAGGTTTTATGAAGGTGTGGTGAAGTCTTATGACTCTCAAAAAAAGAAACATGTGGTAGGCTGCATTTTCCAATCCTCATGTTGGCTTGATTTGTCAGTATCCATGTCATGATGAAACTTGCTACCAATCATATTATACCTGGAATATCATATGTTTCTTTGACATAAGTTTATATAACTAATTTTTTGTTAAAGGTTTTATACAATGATGGAGATGTGGAAGTCCTCCGTCTAGACAAGGAGCGCTGGGAGCTAGTTGACAATGGACGAAAGCCTACAAAGGTCTAAAATTATCTTACATCTGGTCAACTCCTGGTTTCCTGCTAATCAACTAGTTTTAGCTTAGTCTCTGACCATGATTTTTTTTACCATTTACAGCGGTTAAATTCTTCAAAGAGCCCTCTTCCTAAAGGAGCGTAAGTACTGCCATAATGCATTTACTAATTACTAGGGTATTTTTTTGAAAATGAGGTTTAGATTTGCACAATGGTGCGANAAATTCTTCAAAGAGCCCTCTTCCTAAAGGAGCGTAAGTACTGCCATAATGCATTTAACTAACTACTAGGGTATTTTTTTGAAAATGAGGTTTAGATTTGCACAATGGTGCGACGATTTGTATCGTATTTCTATTATTTTTTTAGATAAAAGAAGAATTTTATTATAAAATGGAAGGAGAAAACAAATTACCGTATTGAGGACAAGATATTTGCAAAAAGAAAAAACGCAAAAGACATCCAGAAAACAATCACAATAAAAGTCAAACTTCAAAGCTCTTCGGAGCTTTAAACCAAAGTGAAGCCATGTAAACAATTCTCTCCCATACTAATTTTGAAGGAAGATGACGATTATTGAAGATTCTTTTATTTCTTTCCATCCAAATACACCAAAGAGTTGCCATGAACGCAAAATTCAATGATACCTTTGCTTTCTTCTTATTTCCAAAACCCCAAAATTGATTTGTAACATCTTTTTCAGTGTAGGAGATAAAGCCAAGCCTCACCAGTCACCTGGAACAAAGTATTCCACAAACCCCATGCAAATGAACACACAATGAAAAGATAAGCATTAGACTCTACTGCTGAAATAAGTAAGACAAATATCTGGGCTCAAAAGTCAAAACTTTGTAGGGTTTCCGCACCTACAACAAATCATTAGTGTTTACCCGATTAAGGATTAAGGACATCACACCAAACACAAGTCTGTATTTTCGAGGGATTTTAGGTTTCCAAATGAATTTGGGCAAGGAGAATGAATCTTCATTTTGAGAGCCAACAAGATGTGAATAAAACGATCTACAAGAAACAACACTAGAATTCTCAACAATTCAGATTCTTCGATCATAAGAAAGACTAGTATCGTATTTCTATTATTTACGATATCTTTGTCCTCTTTTGTTGTGTAACAAATTCTTTATAAAGCAAGAGGAAGGAATATACAGCATAACTAAATTGCACACTCAGACGGAGCACACAGCCACTTTGTGAGACAAATACCTGAAAAGTGTAAATGACAGAGTGAGGCCATACAATAAAACAGTGAAAGATCATCCCTAAGCATATGTTGTATAGCTTGACAGCCTTACAAATGCACAAACAAGAACACATATGAATACAGATACAAACCTATTAGAAGGTCAGACAGAATACCCACAAACTAAACCTGCTATAGCACTTTGGCCCGAGCTTGTGTCTCCCACGGACAGCAAGTGTTCTTTATCAAGGACCCGGAACATACTTCTTTACCCAAAGCTTTGGTGCTTGGAAAGCCCTGATCCATCATATATCTCTGAATTCTCGAAGTCTTTAACCCTTTGTAACCATGCAAACCTACCTCGAATGTCATGATCACTAGAATGAAACAGCGAACAATTGTAACAGAACTAATTATAGATGGCATCTGTTATGTCCCATCCATATATTGTACACCAGAGTTGCATTTTCCCATTTTTAATATCAATCCCACAATACGAATATTTTATGGCTCAATGATCAAAAAAGTTGCTATCATTATGTTTTTTTTTTTTTTTTTTTTTGGGGGGGGGGGTGGAGGGGAACTTTATATGCTATGCAATACACAACTGGGAAGGATGCCCTTATCGCTATGCTGATCTTGCTGACATTACTGCTACTTTAACAGTAAGTCACATAGTAAGAAAATTGTCAGTAATATACTCTCTGACCATTATAATGGTCCCAAGTAACAGTAGAACTTGAAAGAGTGGGAAACAAAAGGAAAAAGGTGGCTGGAGGGAGTGGAATTTGGTACTTGCATGTACAACCAACATAACATTTCCCTTCAGAAGCCAATATCCAAATATGATCAGCCCTATCACCGAGATGCTGCAGNGCACAGCCACTTTGTGAGACAAATACCTGAAAAGTGTAAATGACAGAGTGAGGCCATACAATAAAACAGTGAAAGATCATCCCTAAGCATATGTTGTATAGCTTGACAGCCTTACAAATGCACAAACAAGAACACATATGAATACAGATACAAACCTATTAGAAGGTCAGACAGAATACCCACAAACTAAACCTGCTATAGCACTTTGGCCCGAGCTTGTGTCTCCCACGGACAGCAAGTGTTCTTTATCAAGGACCCGGAACATACTTCTTTACCCAAAGCTTTGGTGCTTGGAAAGCCCTGATCCATCATATATCTCTGAATTCTCGAAGTCTTTAACCCTTTGTAACCATGCAAACCTACCTCGAATGTCATGATCACTAGAATGAATCAGCGAACAATTGTAACAGAACTAATTATAGATGGCATCTGTTATGTCCCATCCATATATTGTACACCAGAGTTGCATTTTCCCATTTTTAATATCAATCCCACAATACGAATATTTTATGGCTCAATGATCAAAAAAGTTGCTATCATTATGTTTTTTTCTTTTTTTTTTTTTGGGGGGGGGGGTGGAGGGGAACTTTATATGCTATGCAATACACAACTGGGAAGGATGCCCTTATCGCTATGCTGATCTTGCTGACATTACTGCTACTTTAACAGTAAGTCACACAGTAAGAAAATTGTCAGTAATATACTCTCTGACCATTATAATGGTCCCAAGTAACAGTAGGACTTGAAAGAGTGGGAAACAAAAGGAAAAAGGTGGCTGGAGGGAGTGGAATTTGGTACTTGCATGTACAACCAACATAACATTTCCCTTCAGAAGCCAATATCCAAATATGATCAGCCCTATCACCGAGATGCTGCAGATTTTGGGCTTCCGTTGCCCTTGTTTTAAGGAGCTCAATAGAACCTAGAAACCTGGATATCAGATTCCTTGGCATAGCACCCCAAACCAGTATCATGTATAACTCTTTATCACCTTGATGCACTACAAAAGCAACTGACTGCTATATTGATCAATAGGTGACTTGCTCTAAATCTGTCACCTGCAATGGAGTTATCTCTTATCTCCTGCCTTTAATCCAGATGTTGTAGAACGAGATCACCCGTACAAAAAGGCTTTTTATGTTACAATGGACCATTTGTACCTTATCCTGAAAGCCTCATTCCAGAATCATTTTGTATAAACCCAAACTTCCCTTCTTAACTGGATGAAATAAATTGTGTTCCATTATGTCAGGCTTTGTCTTCTATGTCTTTAATAAGCTAAAGATGACTGGCTAAAAATAACAATTTCCTCATCCTAGGCTTGTACAGTAAGTACGGAAGTCAACAAGGCCTATGCAATAATCAATCAATTTCTTGAAAAATATTATTGTAAATAATATTTTGCAAACAGCATAGTTCAGTTATGCTTTAAAGGTAGCATAATTGGAATCTCTATATATACACTTTTTTTGGGTGTGTGGGGGTTGGGGGGAGGGGGGTTGGAAGGAGTTTGCGGAGCCTCCTTTAATTCCTAATTCACTTGATTGCTGCTGCAGATCACCTGAGCAGAAAAAGAAGTCTTCAGGTGGTTCAAGGCAAAATAAGAAATCAAGTGAGATGTGAGTAGGACACTGTACCACAATTATGACATTGAATTTTTACTTTTTTGTTTGCTTATGCACTACTACCAATTGAATGACAGATCTCCATCAGCTAAACTAAGAGGAACACGAACACCTAGGAAAAAAATTAAGAATGGAACAAAGGTGGTATCAAAGGGCAAAATTACAAAAGAATTTAGACAAGCTGATATCAGAGGGAGCCCAGACGTATTACACCCTGAGCCGGTTTCTAAGTCCAAAGGTGATCATTCGGACTCAGGTAAAGATTCTCACCCTTTATAAGGTTTTGCTTTATTTGTGTGATGTGAAGCATCAGATATCATGGTATTTAACTAGCTTCAAGCCTCTGCCTACCTTTTCTTAGAGAGTTGTTCTGTTAAATGTATCTCACTCTATTCATAAACATCCAAAACCGTTTTGGACAGATTTGTCTTTCTTTTGATTATTTTTGATTTATATTTCCCTCCATGATAACTAAGAAGAGGAGCTTGAAAGAATGGATAAGAGTTCAAATGGTGGGGAGGATTCTGACAAGGATGAGAAATCAGTTCCTGAAGGGAAACAGGTGGAAGATGCTGATAATAGCTCAAGTGATGCAGAAGAGTCCAACGAAGAAGGACCTGACTCTGGAGGGAACCGGATTACAGATTCTGCAAGTTCCTCTCATGATGCTCAGACTTCTGAGGAAGACGAGCTTTCTCCTTTGGAGAAGAAACAGCATCCAGATGTAACAATGGAAGAATGTGGAGAGGAAGCCAATGATAATTCAGAGTCTTTGGGTCATCAAGGAGATGAGTCTGACAGTCATCCAGTAGATCCACGTAAATCTGACCAAAGAACTTTTGCTTCTGATGATTCTGAGGGCACAGAAAGTTGTGATGATGAACCACTTGTATTGATCTTCAGCCTTCCAATCAGCATCTCTGTTTTGTTACACTCTGTAGATGTTCTAGATACTAATTTATCTCTTGTCAAATGCAGAGTGTGTGGAAGCATCGAGTGGGGAAATCAGTCCAAGGCAAATAGATTTGCATAAAAAATACAGAGCTGCGACAAAAATGTTACATCCCAGTTCATCGTGTCAAAGTTGGTATAGTCCAGGAAAGCTGACTGTGAAGAAGATATTGCCTTTTGACAGTTAACACTAATAAACCATGAGGTGCAGTTGCCCTGGGAAAAGTGTAGTATGTAGGATAACAACATGCTTTCTCACTGTGCTAGAATGTATGTGCAGTCTGTTGTATGGTTAAGTTTAAAGGTCCATGGGGTGTTCAGCCGTTTGATTCATTGTACAGCTATAATTAACGTACGATGTAGTGTGGCTTGGAGGTATCCAGCTTAGCTTCTTCATTTGTATATTATTAGCCCATCAATGTGTTTTGATATTCTAGTCCATTGAGTTGCACGTCAGTATGCATTTCATCTTTACAGTGCTCAAGAAAATCAGGGGTTTTATTGTGGAAATCGTGGACATGTAACGTCAGCGTTCAACATGCGACATTAGTGTTGGGGTGCTATATGCTGTGTTCTGAACTTTCTTGCTTTAAAGTAACTTCTTCTTGGCTAAATTGGCTTAGTAGCTAGTAGTATTCCACCAGTCAGCCATGGCCTAACAGGTATCGATAAAGTCACTAAACAAGCATGTATTTTTCTTAAGCAAAGCAATTATTCAACTGTGGAATGTATGTAATACGTGTGGGTCACTCTAAGTAATACTCTGTTTTTTTCCAAAACTCAAAAAAAAATTGAGGTTGAATGGGTCACTCTAATTGCATAAGGGTCATGTTGTATGTGCTTCTTTAGCTAGGTTAGACTATGTGGTTGGTTCTTATTGATTCTTTCTTGTGGGTTTGCTAATGTTTGATATGGTTTTGGTACTTTATTTTTTTTGAACAGAGTTTTGGGACTTTATTCAAGGTCTACTTCCACACCTACTAGTGAGGCTGTGGCATTAAGTCGAGGGTAATTCCAATATTGCACAGACTTACTTGCTTCACCAGAAAACTTGAGAGAAGACTTCTTGGAAACAAGTCATTCACGGGAGAAATAAAACTAACTTGCAAGAAAAATTAATTGACTGAGCATTCTACTGCAGTGAAGTCGCACAAAGACCTACCAACCACTTGGAAGTGCTGTGCACGGTACAGATTCAAATCCCTTAACTTTAAAGTATATTGGACAAAATTCAACAGTCAAAATCTCGCATCTAATTGAGGCCAAACAGACTGACTGCCTTTCTTTGGAGTTGCATACACCGTAAAGTGTGTTATTATTGGCACATCTTCTTTATTGTCTTGTACTGCTCACTAGCTTGCTAATATTGTTTAAGCATTTTGGTGGTTGGATAAAAATTAATCCATAAAACTTAAAAATGATAAACTTTCTGAGTTAATTATACATTGCACCCTAAACTATGAACTTTATCTCTCTTTGCCTTTTAAGCAATTGAGTTTCTCATGTTGCTTCATCAACTACTACTGCTTGAATTGGTTTCACACTACTCAATTAATTTGAGTACAAAATAAAACAATGTTCTGTCAATGGAGTAATGTGAAGAAAATAACTATAACTAAAAGTACAATACGAGAAATATGATAGTTAAATAGGGCAAAATAATACAAATCTTGTAGTTTGAGAGGGGGAAGTGTAATTAACCTACTCTTCTATCCAGTCACTGCAGGACAAACGCGTTACTTTTATGAATGGGGTTTGTTTGTTTGTATATGACTATATGTTGTGTACCAAGTCGATTGGTGTTGTCAAACCACGCCAAAGCTTAGCGACGTGTGGGACAGTCGATTTCATCCCTGACCTAAGGTACGTCAGCCATAGCGACCTGGAACGCTGGAACTACTGGTAGATCGGTTACCCAACACTGGTTTTTCTTTCTAGTTTACTCTGATGATGATATAGGAAACTATTTGTAAGCGTATGGCCAATTTCGCTCTGTTTTTCTTTCCAAAGTTTCGTTTTTTTGGTTCTTTCTAACTGGGTGTCTGTTGTGCTTGTTTTTGTTTTAGTTATAAATGTGTTGGGTAATTTTTTTTTTTTCGTTGAAAGTTAAATGGACACAAATCAGTGGATTATGCTAGCTGCTGCTGCTGTTGGTGGTGGTGGTGGTGGGGTGCGTGTGCGTATATATGCCTGAATCTGCCGTTTTCCTCGTTCATTTCTCCGGTCCTGCTGTACAGCTGTTCCAGTATATGTGTATATAATGCCGTGTTCTCAATGGGGTTTAGATTAATTATAACTTTGAATTTGGTACACAGTGTTCTTGGTATGTGCTTCAATTAGAAAACTATTGTTTAGAAAAATGTTCAATTGCATTCATGAGCTAGTTCTAATTACTTGTCAATCTTCAAGAACTCTTGTTGATGATTCTTAATTTTTAAGTGTAACAGTTACAGATTATCTTCACTATGTAGTTCTCAAAAGATGCCCCTCTCAATCTCTATTCTCTTAATCAGATTGTTAGTTTAAACTCTGGCTTTGATTTTCGAGAAACATGGTTTATTCATTGAACTTTTTTTTTTGCTGGTATTATTCATTGAACTTAAATTTCATTGTGCATTTGTCTTTTTTTTTTTCCAGATTCCGAGTCAGTTATGTTTGGCTAGATAATATGAGTGAGATTAATGGTATATGGTTGTCAACTGGTTTCTATGATGTCTTCTCTTAGTTGACAAGTTTTAGATTGTTCTGCAGGGGCCTTTTTATTTTGTATCTCCTTCTGAATTGTATGGGTTTATGCTGTGCAGCTTTGGGCTTCTTTCTACGGTCGATGCCTTTGTAGTTGTGGATTATGGCAGAAACAATGGGACTGTTAAAAGTAACTGTTGTGCAAGGGAAAAGGTTGGTTGTTCGGGACTTCAAGACGAGTGATCCTTATGTCATTCTCAAGATGGGAAATCAGGTTATATCTTGTTTACAATTCTTTTTCACCTTTCTTGTAGGGTCTGTGGAATATTATCACATTTTTTCCTTAGATTCGTTTTTCTTTTCCTGGTTTTATTTTCAATTTTGGGTTCTCTGTTTGCTGATCCAGTACAGTTGCTTAATAATGTGAAATAAAGTGACTGAAATAATACTTCTGCAATAACCTCTTGGAAGGATCTTTTCAATCTTTGAGGGGGGTGCATGTGTGTGCCTTTTACGAAAAAGATCAAAAGATAAAAGAAGGATCTTTCCTGGGGGGAAATATTTAACAATTCGACATGCTTGCCAATAGTGCCATCTTAAGTCATAAATGATATTATGTTTGTCGTCCGGTTTTATTTTCCAGATATCATGCTACATCGTCAATTCTCTGTCTGTTATGGTAACTATATGATAAAGTTCCAATGTTACCTTGTCTCTCAATCTTACAAGTGACTAACTCATATTGTGCTAGGGTACCTAGGCCTTTTCTCCCCCTTTTGGGTTTCTTTACCAATTTTTTAATTGTTTGTGGGATTTAGGAATTTCTACTCCAAACATTCAAGTAACTTCACTGACATCTCTTGTAGCAGACATCAAAGACCAAGGTTATAAACCGTTGCCTTAATCCCTTTTGGAATGAAGAATTGAGTTTCTCCCTCACAGAACCTATTGAAGTTCTCAAGCTGGTAAGTTTTTGAATTCAAAGTTCTCAGATATTCAGTTCATTATATCCTTTGCGTCTTTTATCCTTTTTCTGTCTCTTTTTGATCCTTCTGTTTTCTCTTTCTAGTAAAATATTTGTTTTTGTCATAGTTTTTGTAGTTTTTAGTTAAAATTTCTTGGATCTTTTATGCCAAGAATTAAAATTTCATTTCAAAGCAGTCGAAACAGCTAAAACGTTTCCGTTTCTCAAGAGACCTAAATGAATCAATGATTGAATTGAAATTTTAATATTTCGAGGTGCTTTGAAATGTTTCAATTCGGTATGTTTTTACCAATGTTTCAGAATGTTTTGATATGTTTTAACATAGTTATCAAATCGTGTATCGGAAGGCGTATCGTAAGATACAAATATTGTATCGTATCGTGTATCGTATCGTGTATCGTAAGATACGATGCAATTTTAAATAAATAATAAAAAAATATATATACCTTTGAAAAAAAGTCATACACTCATAAAAAATATAGCATTTCATTAATACTCCACCAACTATTCAAGTTATCAACATAATCCACTACTATTATAATGCAAAGTTCACAACCATAGTTCACTAATTCAAACTTTAAACACCAAAGAGACTTCTAATCCAAATTTCTAACATCCATTTTGAACTCAATCTTCAATTTCAATTGAAAATGCATCATCATCATCATCATTGTGATCGGATGCCAACAAGTCTTCACTTGTCGTTTTTTTTTAAAAAAAATCAGAGCACAAAACGACGTCGTTTTTAAAAAAAAAAAAAAATAAAAAAAAAAATAAAAAAAAAATTGCACGTATCGTGCGTATCGTACCGATACGTATCGTATCGTAAAAACGTATCGTGTATCGGACGATACAACGCAAAAACGATACATAACTACGATCCGTATCGTTTTAGGGCTGTATCGTAACGTATCGTACGATACGTATCGCGTATCGTACGATACTAACAACTTTGTGTTTTAAGATGTTATAGTAAATTTTGACCAATCATTCGGAATGTGTTGGAAATAAATTTCCAATTTTTTTATTTATTTCCAAAACATTCCTGTTTTTTAGATAACTAAAATAATGTACCGAAACGAAATTTTAATTCTTATTTCTTGAATATTGAAATTTGAGATGAAAGCTCAGACAATTTAATTTATGCTTATGATTTGGTCAATTGTGTCTATTAGACAAGGTTTTTCCCAATCATGAATTGGTTGAATGTCCTGTAGGTAGAAGCATGATCTTTACTATTTAATTTGTTTGGTGCCGCCATATTCCTGCCATTACATTGAATTGATAAAGTAGCATGCTAATGAAGAGAAATGGATGGGCATCTTCATGTCCTGTTATTGGGATTCTATTGTATGTGCAATGATCAGAAGGGGTAGTAAGCGGCATTTTAGCAATCTATTTAGTTGGACCCCAAGGGGTACCACACTTTTGTGAGCAGAGAAAACGCTTACACTACCTTGGTTATAACACACGTGCGCCGCTTGCTCGGGCTCGGGCTCGGGCTCGGGCTCGGGCCAAAGAGCTATAATCTTTAAATATTCTCAATACTCAGAAGATTTTAAGACTGATATTACTGTACAGTGATCATTTTGTGTCTCTCCATGCTGGTCCAATGGAGGTTCTTTTTGTTTTTTCCATATTTTCCAGGGAATATTCATCTCATTTCCACCATTGCTCGTAATGAAATTGGTTTTCAAAACGTTGGCCATCCATCTGGTGCCTTTGTTTATGTTTTGCTCTGGAGTTCTTGATGTTGAATGAATCAATATAACTCAGGTTGGATTTTGGAATGTCTCCATCATGATATTTAGAAGTCCAGTCTAAGCCAAGTCATCTCATACATAAAAGGCCTATTCCTTGCCTAATTTGGTCAGCTACTAGGAAAAACTTTCTTTATTGTGATTGATGGTGGAGTTCAATTTTTTAACTTTTTATAATGTTCAAAAGACCCTCCATTGTCAGTTGATTAGACCCTAGTTTGTCATATTGGCCAAGTATAGTCAATAAGATGTTCTGAACCTTGTACACATTTGCTGATAGTGGATTTGATAAAGCAAGGAGGTGACCTGGTTAAAATGAGTAATACTATTTGGACCTAAAAACTTGACTTAATTTGTTGACATAATGATGTGGTTTTATAAGAATTATTAGATCAACATTAAGTTCCAATGTTTGAAGGGGTATACAGTGAATCTAAAAGTCACAGTGAATTAGGTCAATAAATTAGGTCCCTATAGCATTGCTTGGGTAAAATCTTATTTGGTCCTTGAAAAGTTGAAATTTCAATTACAACAATGAAATCCTTAGAATTTTAATTGTGTTTCAATGTAGTATTTACATCAAAATTCACTAATTTATAATAACTAACACATGACTTGGATAAAATATTTTATGTATAAGCTATAAAATCTTATTTTATTTCATCTGATTTGGAAAAGAAGATAGCAAACACCACCCCCCCCCCCCAAAAAAAAAAAAAAAAAAAAAAAAAAAAAAAGACTGAGTAAGAATTTGAGAGATATTGTAAGACAGAGAGAAATATCTATGTATTTGAGAGAGATATTTTTTGCCGGACAAATATACCCTTATGAGCAAGTCCTATGATGTCTTTATGTCGGAACAAATTAATAAATCTGGATAGAAGGGTTAGATTGAAACTCGGTTAAAACTTTAAGGGTGTAATTGTTTAAATTGGAATTTCAAGGACCAAAAGAAATTATGTACATAGTTTAAAGTATAAAATTTAAATTACTCAAGGTTAAAATATAAGTTGTAAGATCAGCCATTGGATACCATCTGGGCGGTTGTTTGAGTTTGTGGGCATATGTGTTGAGGAGCTTTTTCTTTTATTATATAGGTAATTAGGTTGTCTATGGCACATAAGGTAGTGCTTGAGATTTAGAACTTCAAATTATAGTGCAGATGAAGTCATATCGATGATGTTAATGATTGGAATGTTTACATTCTTATCAATCGACTTCATCTGACGAAAGTTCTTGTTCAACAGGAAGTGTTTGATAAAGACCGTTTCAAGGCAGATGACAAGATGGGGCATGCACACCTCAGCCTTCAACCATTAGTCACTGCAACTAGATTGAGGCAGATCCTTGGGGTTGCTACTGAAGGAACGACGTTAAGGAAGGTTATCCCAGAGAGTGACAACTGTCTTGCAATGGATAGCTCCATTACTTGGGTAAATGGTGAGGTGGTGCAGGATGTTTGGTTGAGGCTTAACGGAGTGGAGTCTGGGGAGATACAATTAATGATCAAATTAACCAATCCTCCTGTTGCTTCATCGAAGTAGTGTAGAATTAAGGTTCGATGAGCATAGGCTTCTCAAATGTTGGATAAAAGTTTGTATCCGAAGCATAGTATCCCACTCTCCCCACCCACCTTATTATCATGTATGTTGGAGTTGAAAAGATCACAAAGGTTGCTTAGCATTGTGGTTGTGTTTCTAAGTGGCTGAAGTAGGAAGTGGAGTGTTGTAATTGTATTTAACTGGGGTGGAATTTGATCCCATGTTTGCAGGGTGTAATATGAATGTTGTGTAGGGGTAGCATTGACCTTTAATCATATCTGCACCGATGACATTTGGTTGGCACTGCATTTATTTGTGCGTTACATCTTATGGCTTTTCCTTGGTCATTGTGCTATCACTGTTTTACCTATACTTGGAGTTTAGCCTCCTGTTCAGACATCTTTCCTCCCCATCTTTTGAAGAATTGATTATAAGTCTCTTGTTTGTTCTTGTGGGAGTGGGTTCACCAAAGCTTTAAAGACAAAAGCCATGTTGCTGTGAGAGAGAGGCAAGAGATGTACATGTGGTGTTTTTGGAAAAGTAAAGTTGGTGCTGATGGCATAATGTTGGCAGGAAATTTTGATCTCTTGATAATTAAAGGAGTGCAGTAGCAGTAGCAGTAGCAGTACTACTTTCACTTGGCAATTATGAGAAAGTCTATGGTATCGCACCAAAAGTTATTATTTTTATGCTAAAGTTATATCTCAAAAAAAAGAAGTTATAATTATTTAGAGAAAGTCTATGATCGATCATAAATACACATAGTCGATTATGGATTTTTCCTGAGTAGTTGTAATTTCTCCCTTTTGAATTCTAACTTAACATTTAAAAATTATAACTTACACCTCAAAAAAATTGTAACTTAACTTAAAATTATTGTAACTTTAAGTACGATACTTCTTTCGGTACTGTAGCCTTTCTGGAAAATTATAGATCAGTTATCTTAACTCATTCCCAATCACAAAGACTGGTAAACCCATGAGATAAGGTAAAAAGAAATGGGTACCAAGTGCCAACTACTCAACTTGGCTGGCGCTGGTGGAAGAATAGTATTCTATATTTCAGAGCGTATTTTTAATAAAAAATTTATATAGACACTAATTTNCCTCCTGTTCAGACATCTTTCCTACCCATCTTTTGAAGAATTGATTATAAGTCTCTTGTTTGTTCTTGTGGGAGTGGGTTCACCAAAGCTTTAAAGACAAAAGCCATGTTGCTGTGAGAGAGAGGCAAGAGATGTACATGTGGTTTTTTTGGAAAAGTAAAGTTGCTGCTGATGGCATAATGTTGGCAGGAAATTTTGATCTCTTGATAATTAAAGGAGTGCAGTAGCAGTCGCAGTAGCAGTACTACTTTCACTTGGCAATTATGAGAAAGTCTATGGTATCGCACCAAACGTTATTATTTTTATGCTAAAGTTACATCTCAAAAAAAAGAAGTTACAATTATTTAGAGAAAGTCTATGATCGATCATAAATACACATAGTTGATCATGGATTTTTCCTGAGTAGTTGTAATTTCTCTCTTTTGAATTCTAACTTAACATTTAAAAATAATAACTTACACTTCAAAAAAATTGTAACTTAACCTAAAATTATTGCAACTTTAAGTACGATACTTCCTTCGGTACTGTAGCCTTTCTGGAAAATTATAGATCAGTTATCTTACCTCATTCCCAACCACAAAGACTGGTAAACCCATGAGATAAGGTAAAATGAAATGGGTACCAAGTGCCAACTACTCAACTTGGCTGGCGCTGGTGGAAGAATAGCATTCTATATTTTAGAGTGTATTTTTAATAAAAAAATTATATAGACACTAATTTTTTTTTTAACAACTCTAATAAGATTTTCAATCCTAGTGCAAGAATATTTGAAAACATTTAGAAAATATTGAACTACGTCATTATATTATTTTGTAGTGAGGTTTATTAACTTAGGAAAATATTTTGTATATTAATTTAATAATCTTATTTGATAAAGGTCATAGAATTTACCGGGTATAACATAACATAACATATCATTGATTGATAAAAAACGTGACATTTGCAAACTGATCCTCCTCCTCCTCCTCCTCCTTCCTCCTTTTCCCATCCATCCAAGTCCGGGACAAAAGTTTGCAACTTTTTTCAATAATTTGGACACGCCACTCCATATCTCTATCTCTGTGCAACGTCAGTGACAATAACTCCTCGCGTCGCGTTCCTTTGCTCGCTTTCCGGTTGGGTACTTACCGCTCTTCTATTTATAGTGTACTTGAACAGAGCGTTTGGAGTTAAAAGCTCTGTCTCACCGACACACACGCAACCCCGGAGAACACAGCAGGAGTAAGAATAACAGGATCCGATCAGTGGTGTACTTGAGTGGAGTGGGGTGCCGTCTGTCCAAAATCTCTAGGTATTTGGTTTCTTGCTGTGTTATCGTTGGTTGAGTTGACCAGTAACTTTCTGGCCTTCTTATCACTAAACAGTCCAGTTCTCAAAATTTTTTTAGGTTTGATCTTATCCAATTTTCTTTGTTTTTATCAACGTCACTGTCCTCAGTAAATATGTCTGCCTGACTAGTTTTCTTTCAGATTATTTTGAGAGTTCCATGGCCCCAGCAACAGGAGCATCTTCAGATTTGATTAAACCTCGAGGTTTCAATTTCTATCTCATTTTTTCCGTATGGGCTTGAACGGTTTATTTCATTTTCTTCATTTCTCTTACATTCAATCATTCCTAGTTGTTATATGTGTTGTACCAAACATTGCTATTTTATTTGCTTGTTGGAATTATTGCTTGAAATTAATGGGAGTGTTGAAGTTTTCATCTTCAAACATAGTTGGTTGGTTTGCTCATCCATATTACCAAATTTGGCACAGATGTTTGCATCGTCGGTGTTGCACGGACCCCAATGGGGGGCTTCCTTGGTTCCCTGTCATCTTTGTCAGCTACCAAGCTTGGTTCTATAGCTATTGCATGTAAGATCGTTTGATGACAACCTTTTACCTCTATCTTTTCTTAAGCCATGAGATGATTCGTCTGAGACTGAGATGTTATCCATTACGTTTTACAATCAAGTTTTTGCTACTGTGTAGGTGCTCTTAAAAGGGCAAATGTTGCTCCATCACTTGTGCAAGAGCTCTTCTTTGGAAATGTTCTCAGTGCAAATTTAGGCCAAGCTCCTGCCAGACAGGCTGCGTTAGGTGCGGGTATACCCGATACAGTGGTTTGCACCACCATTAACAAAGTATGTTCATCAGGGATGAAAGGTGGTGGCTCTCTATCTATACAGATCAACCTTCCTAATTGTTAAAAAGATATCCAAATGACATGTTCTTTATCTTCTTCCTCCCAGCAACAATGCTTGCAGCACAAACTATCCGATTGGGTACTCATGATGTTGTTGTGGCTGGTGGAATGGAAAGCATGTCTAATACTCCTAAGTATCTTGCTGAAACAAGGTTAGTTTTCTTGCCAACCATCAAATACCTTTTTTGGCTTTCTATTTCCTTCTTTCAAGAAAGATGAACTTAAATAATATAAGAGGGAGATTAAATTCAGCCACAATTGAAGTGATTATATGCATTTGGACAGTGGATGAAGACTGTCTAGACATAACATCGTTTTGAGTTGAATCCAGAACTGTTGGAAAACTCAATTCTTTAATACTTATGAGCATGTTACTCCTCATAAGGCCAAAAGCCCAAAGATTGGATGCATAAGGCCATCCTCTTGCCCCTTTCAAATTGGATTGCAAATTTTCATTTCCATTATTTTGCACAATGTTGGGGCCCTTGGGGGTGGTCCACAACCAGGTAATTTGACAGTATTGTTCTGTTTCGATGGGGCTTCTAGCTGAAAAACAAAAACCTTGCTCAGGCATGTTAAATTTCCATAAAAAGTTAATTGCGACATTTAATTTTATGGGCTTAATTTTCCTCAAAACTCCATTGTTCCGATGAGCAACCACAAAATTGCTAGCTCCTATTACAAGTATAGTTCACTTTCTTAAAACTTTAGTTCTTGCAATTTTTAGAATTATCTTGTTTACGTCAGGTGTGGTCATCCCTCATTTTCACCTTTTTTGTAAGATGGTTTGCACGTTAAAAAACTGTATAAAATAGTTTGATACAATAAAAATTTAGTTGAACACCTAAATGTACCCCGAAAAGTTTTATGCCAGCAAATAATGACAACAATTGGCCCTCTCTGTATTCTGTATTCATGAAATCAATGCTGATTCTGTGCGTATTAGCAGAATGGGATCTCGGTTGGGACATGATAAAATTATTGATGGCATGATCAAAGATGGCCTGTGGGATGTTTACCATGATTTTGGAATGGGAGTGTGCGCAGAGTTGTGTGCTGAACAACATAAAATTACAAGGGAGGAGCAGGTAGTCTAGTGAAGCTGTATGTCTGATTTAGTTTTTCCGTTTTTGTTCACTTAGCATGCAGAACTTGAATTAGTGCAGCCAGTATGATTTCTCTATTACGTGTTAAATCTTTTTGGGTCCAAATTGGTTCATGAGTTGCTTATATTGTGATTTTAAACCAATCATGAAACCTAGCATCAAGGGTTTGGATAAACAACAAAAAAATTGAATAAAACAAGAGATGAACTTCTTGTGATGTTTATTTTGTGATTACTTATCACCCACCTTTAGTATCTTACTGTTTTCTTCAATGATCTTGACATATTGGATCTGAATTCACATGGGTGTAATCTCTTTTGATTTATCTACGTTTCTTTTTAGGATGCTTATGCTGTCCAAAGCTTTGATCGTGGAATTGCTGCTCATCGCAGTGGTGCATTTGCATGGGAAATAGTTCCAGTGAGACCCCTGATTTCATTCTCAAGGCGAGAGTTTGTTGTTTCTAGTGTCTTCTAGTTTGAAAGCTGGATTTATACATGCAGGTTGAAGTTTCTCGGGGGAGAGGGAAATCATCCACCATGGTTGATAAGGATGAAGGTTTAGAAAAGGTAAAGAGAATTGATGGGTATGACAGGTTATCTAGGAAGCATGGATACTACCCGAAGGGTGCCATTGCAGTGTCCATCACATGTCCGACATAGTTAGAAGTGTTCTGAATAGTGAACTTAGTTGGACATGGCCAGGATACCTAGGATTTTTTTTAAAAAAAAGCGATTAAACTTGATCGTTTTTCAAAAAATTAATATTTACTAGGTCTTATTATTAATATTGTTATAAAAATACTTTGTTTTTAATATATTATAATTTTATTATTATATTTAAAAATATATAATATTATTTTAATTAGTCGTATTTGTAATTATATTTTATAAACTGTCTCGTATTCTCGTATCTGTATTCATACTTCCTAGCGGGTTATATATTCTTGGTGGTAGAGTTTGTGGAAATTGTAGATTTAGAATTTTATTGTGCTCTATCTGACGCCCAATACCAGATCCAAAGTAAACTGTTAAAAGATAATTCTTTTCCCTGAATGCATATATTTACCTTCTCCTACTGCCTTTTCTTAAATGTTTGCTAGAGAATAAGCTACATGCCTACATAAAGGTTTTTCTTGGCCAAATCTAATTCCATTTTCTTATCAGCAGACCAACTCTATTCAAGAGCAAATTGGCCTTCTTCATTTTAGGCATTTATATATTCTGAAATAGTTCACCAATTCAGCACCTGATTTTTCAAGTCAATCTTCTTGGAGAAGACTTGGGACCAGTTGAAAACCACTCATATTTTCCTTCTGTGCCTTTATGCCAATGAGCTATATGCATTCTGGATTTTATGATATTTATCCACTTCTATGTCCAATTAATCTGCCTAGTATAGGGCCTATTTTTTTTTTCCTAGTATAGGGCCTATAGGCAAGCTAAAATCAATCAAATGTTTTATCATGTCTTCCCTATTTTCATGCACCAAACACAGAAATTTGGTTCCTCAACAGCGTACTGTGTTTCCTTTGTGGCCCTATTCTTAACCAAAACTCTCAAAGTTGGGAGACAAGTTCGGGGTTCTAAATGTCTTTTCTTTGATTTACCGCGGCTCCTTATTTGTTCCATTATTGGCGTTTTGAATTCTTTATTTCTTATGTTGTATCTTACTAGTTTGATGCTGCAAAACTAAGGAAGCTTAGACCAAGCTTCAAGGATGGAGGTTCTGTTACTGCTGGCAATGCTTCTATCATAAGGTTATCTGAGTGTGTGTGTGTCTGTCAATCTTCGTATGTGTGTGTGTCTGTGTGCGCGCGCGCGTGCTGTGTAAAGGCTCAAACATCTGCTTATGTGCATGCTTTTGAGGAGTCCTTCTGTTGTTTAACAATGGTCTCTCTTCCAGTTATCTAGTGTCACCTGTGTGATCAGCAATTAAATTTATCAAGCATGTGAACTAAATGACAACATGCTTATTGAATTTTTCTCTGACAAAGATTCAATCCTTTGTTGACATTTTTTGGGATTTGAGTTTTTGGATATAAATGCATGTTGCTTGCATGAGCATGTTGGCTATCCTATCACTTAATGGCCATTAACGGTCATTTAACTACTTGCGGTGTTCTTTTTCCGGACAGTGACGGTGCTGCTGCATTAGTGCTAGTGAGTGGAGAGATGGCACTTAAACTTGGGCTGCAAGTTATTGCTAAGATCAGAGGGTATGCTGACGCTGCTCAGGTACTGCCTAGAATAGATTAGTCTTGATATAGTTGGCCTTGATATAACTCAGTGCTGTAAAAAGATTGATTGTGCAGGCTCCTGAGTTATTTACAACTGCTCCAGCCCTTGCTATACCGAGAGCTATTTCAAATGCTGGTTTGCAGGCTTCTCAAATTGATTATTACGAAATAAATGAAGCCTTTTCTGTAAGTTTCTATGCATTAACTTTAGATACTGGCAGTATGTTGCTTATCAAGCCAGAGTCTTCTCACCTCATCTCTGCAGGTTGTTGCTCTGGCCAATGCAAGGCTGCTCAATCTTAGTCCTGTGAGTCTTTCATTCGTCACTGCACTTCTCATCTTTTTCTGATTTCCTAAAATTGGTTGGTTCTATTTTGTACTTAACTTCTGCATTTCTACTTTGCTCCATTATTTTTGCTGAGTAATATTTTCATTTCCTCCATATGTGTGTACCTTTTCTTATGGTTTCAGGAAAGACTGAATGCACATGGTGGTGCAGTGTCTCTGGGACATCCACTAGGTTGTAGCGGAGCTCGTATCTTGGTCACGTTGTTAGGGGTATGTCATCTGTACTTATACTATGTATAGTGTATGTTTACCTGATTTCTTATGACACTATCGTTTTGGTTCTTGGTTTACCTCCTGACTTACCCAAGTGTTGTTAGATAAATCACCACATCCACTAGGTTGTAGCGGGGCTCATATTGGTACTTCATCACTACTTTTAGTATGTGTAGTGTATGTTTACCTGATTTCTTATGACTATGGTTTTGGTTCGTGGTTTACCTCCTGACCTATCCAAATGTTGTTAGATAAATCTGATCTCTCTCTCTCTCTCTCTCTCACTATGATCATTGGGGTTTGAGATCTGTCCTATGTAAATGTGGGTTATAGGAACTGCTTAACCAATTGTTCCACACATTTTGTTAGTACCATTTCTCAGGAAATTGCTAGTGCTTTTTGCCGTGTCTAAGTTGAGGTGTAATGATATTGCAGGTACTGAGACATAAAAATGGAAAGTTTGGGGTTGGTGGAATCTGCAATGGGGGAGGAGGAGCATCTGCGCTTGTTATAGAACTCATGTAAGCTTCTTTTTTCCACGAGAATTTTGTTTTGATATTGTTTTTCATCCCTGGCGCTGTGATAATGCCTTTAGTAGGTGATTTATTGCATCTAGGATTTCCTTTTAAGTATTGTAAGTTTTCATATTGCAGGCCAGTTGCGAGGGTGGGACGTTCCATGCTATGAAACTGAAATTGGTCTGTCGTGCGTGTTGTCTCAGCTGCTGCCTGTTGTGCAATTATGTGGCTGTTCATTATTTCTTTTTTCTCCAACAAGAAGAATGTATCAAATGTTCGTCATCAGAAATACGTGTCTGCCCAATGTGTTGCCTTAATGTTTCTATATTTGTTCCTCCGTTGAGAAACTACTTATGTTCTGCAAATCACACCTTCATGTCAACCTAACCACCTCGTATGCACCAAGTCTGAAGTGTGCCTCCACACCCGAGCATATGCAGCCGGCCGCCAGATAGATGTGACTACTTGATTGTGAGGCGGATCAGCAAACTATTTCGATCCCTTGTATTGTAATGGTTTAATGCAAAGACAATCATTCGAATTATATCTAATCACTGGCCTGGCCCCTGGTATACTATAGTATAGCGGCAGCCCGGAGTTCATTTAGAAGTGATGGTGAAGAAGCCATGCATGAAGCGGTTATGGTGCGCATCCAAATCATCTCCCAAAATATAACTAGCATATAAAATAGGAGACCAAAGTGTAATTAATGTTGTTAGCTTCATCTTTTACAGAATCAAACCATGCTTAGTCTGCATAGGCTGGATTAGGTTTCGGACAAGACAATGAAACTGTGATGAAAAGATAAAGAGGAAGAATGGGTTACATTTTGAAGGATTCATTCACCGAAATCAAAACAAACGTGTTAGGGTTTCATTAAACTGAGGATGGTTTATCCAAATTATTATTATTTTTTGGCTTAAATTTAATTATTACGTGATAAGTTTATAATAAAAAAATTATTAACAAATTTGAATGTTGTCTGCTTGAGGGATTACATAGAAATATATTCAATATATATAATAAAGTAATATATTACTCAAATTTTAAAAGATAAACAAAATGACTTTTACTATTCGCGATTGAGATCGTTTTAAATTTTATTTTAAAGTTAATCTAATGGTTAATATTAACACCCTAAATTTAATAGGAAAAATAGACTTTTACAAATGTGTTGGAATGACTTTTTAAAATGTATTTTTAAAAATTATTTCTCATAAATATTTTAAAAAAAGTAGTATTTGAAACTATCCCATCACTATCTTTATCGCCGCCACCCCCACCGCTGCCGACGCCGCCGTTGCCACCACCACCACCACAACTATCATTGTCTCCTACCACCGCTATTGCTGCCTACCACCTCTCATCCCCACTATAAATCGATGCTTAAATTTCTTTATCTATTTTCTATGTTTGTGATTTGATTTTGGACATGAATACAAATATATTTATTGTATACCATTTTTTATTACAATGTGCCTTCAGACACAGATAATAACTAGTATTTAATATTTTAGGAATTAAAATGATGCAATTGAAATATTGGAGACCAAAATGAAACAAACCTTATACTTTGAGGATATCTTGTGCAATTAACTCTAGAAATGTAAGTTCTAAAAATTGAGACCAACCGTCCAATTGAAACATTAAATTATATAAAAAAGGACTAGATTCTTTTCCAAATGCAAGAACTACGTATAGAATTTGTTATCAGGATCGATAATAGTTGCTTTAGTAGAAAATAGTTTTTCAAAATTTAAATTGATAAAATCCTGTTTACAGTTAATTATGTCACAAAAAGATTAAATAAATTAGCTATATTATCTATTGAAAAAGATTTCTTGACAAAACTTGAATGTAAGAGCTTGATCAATAATTTTGCATCTCAAAAACAAAGAAATATAATTTTTAAATAATTAAAAAAATTTAAATTATGATAACTAAATATATATATATTTATACACAAAAATTTAGAAGGACCCGTGTGAGGCCGTCAAATACGTTACTTTTTTGTCACTGTTAATGGGATAGTTTTTGACGAAATGAGTAATAGAAGTGAATTGACTTTTAATCCATCGAGGGTATTACAATATAAAAAATTTAATTTTTGATGATACTAAATTAAAATATTTTAAATCTTTAAAGATAAAAAGTATAATTTGGCCGAATTTTAAATATGGATCTATTTCATGAATGCTTCAGTTGAGAGACAAGGAGTAAAAGGCGCAAAGCTTTGAAAAATAACATTCTATTTTGAGTCGGGGGACTCTCTGGCCTCTGAAATACTCACTCACTCACTCATACTTGGATGGTTGGGTGAGACCAATGTTTTCCGCAATTGTCTCTCGACTCTTGACAAGCAAGAAAATTTTAGATTTCTTTTTTTCAGTGCTGCATCTCCTTGTCAAATGATGAGCCAAAATTACCCACATTAAATTACCCATGGACATTGGAACACCTTTACATATTTTTCTCGCTGACTGCTAAATGTTTGTTTGTTGTTTGATCTCTTTAAAGAAAAAGAAACTAGTACCTGCCTACCAAACCATCTTGTGTTTTCATCCCCTTTCTCTTCTCTTTTTTGGTTTCCTATGCCATATTCCATGTACGGTAACTGTTAGCATTGTAGACAACGTTGCCCATTTGTGAAAGTGGTGAATATCTTTTGAGGTATATGTTGTTTCTATACTTGTTGGACCTTTTATATCTGGACTGTATATATTTCTTATTTGTTGCAATCCTGACAGGTTCGTTCGTTTCTCTCTCTCTCTCTCTCTCAAGCAAGCTGTAATTATTCCTTCATGACAGTAAATGGTAGAAAAATTAATAATGGAACTTCAATAATGCATATATCACTTGATAGACATGTTTCAATTTGGTTTTGCAGTAGTGGGCATACATTTTCAATTTTAAATAGGTCGTACATTGTGAAATGAAAGATTTAAATCTGTATACACATGGGCAGGGTTGGGTTTGGGGGTTGGAGGAGGAGAGAGATATCTTACTTGAGCTCTTCCTTCTCACCAAAAACGCCAACTTTGCTAATGCTGGAGTTTTCGATGATTAACGAATAAGTTGGACTGAGGAAAAATCACTTCTTTCCCCTCAATGTTACTTCATTTTATATTGATCCTGCNATTATTTTCAACCTCTTGTTCTTGTATCAATATATTGAGTAAGTATTTTATCCCTTCAATATCTTAGCTTATTTGGGCATTGAAAGCTAGTTGACTTTCATTGGAAGCTAGTTGACTTTCCATAAATTCACAAAACATTTCTGCCAAATTCTTTTCTTGTGGGTCATGGTAAGATGAATATTGGGGAGGGTCTTGTGGTGATGTAGAATATAACTGATAATGTTCGTTTCCCCAACCAAAATCGGAATAAAAAGTTTCAAAACAATGGTCGGAGTAAGGTTGAGAAGAATTAGATAATACAATTGATCCATTCCTCAAAAAACTATCGAGCATTTGGTATTAAAGGGCAAATCTTAGTGGGATGTCAAACACATCACAAATCATACACAGTTTCTCCATAGGGGGAAAACTTGACACTTCATTAGAATAATTTAAAAACTTATAAATAAAAATTATGAAAATCTAACCTAAGAAAAATAAAACAAATAATAATAAAAAGGGATGAGATTACTGGATCTGTGACAAATCTCAAATCTAGCAAACCTTAATAGATGGCGGTGCACTCCTTGTCTTCAAACAACTTTTCGACAATGGCGTCAAAAACTTGCTACAACTTTAGAATTGATCACCCAAGTGCAGGTTGTATGAAGTAATATAATACTCGAAAGTCCGAGGTCAAACCATAGGGAATTGAGAAAAACTCATAACACAAAGAAAAATAAAAGAAAATTATTTTGAAAAAATTGTTGTAGAGATTTAAAAATTAGAAAATAATAAATTTAGTTTTAAAANTACACAAAGTAACCCTTATATAGTAGGACAACACAACATAAAGAAAATGCCTAAACTACATTTATTATGAATACTCTAACACCCCCTCTCAAACTCATGATGTGGTAAAAAACATTAGGAGTTTGTCAAGAAGAAATCTAAAATGTGCTATGGTATGAGACTTCGTAAAAAAGTCCGCTATCTGCATTGTGGAAGGAAGAAAGAGGAGAGTGATGGTGCCCTGCTGCAGATGATGATGCACAAAGTGACAATCAATCTCAATGTGTTTTGTGCGCTCATGGAAGATTGAGTTATGAACAATCTGAATAGCACTGGTGTTGTTGCAGAACATAGGAGTAGGAGATGATACTGAAATGTAAATATCAGCAAGGAGCCANAACAATCTGAATAGCACTGATGTTGTTGCAGAACATAGGAGTAGGAGATGATACTGAAATGTAAATATCAGCAAGGAGCCATCATAACCAAACTATCTCAGCTGTAGTAGATGCCATAACACGATACTCAGCTTTAACAGAAGAACGAGTAACAACAGTTTATTTCTTACTTTTCCAGGAAATAAGAGAATACCCAAGAAACAGGCAAAAACCAGTGGTGGACTTGCAATCCATAGAGTTACCAGCCCAGTCAGCATCAGAGTAAGTCCTGAGTTCCATAGATGAAGAGTAAGGAAAGAGTAAACTCTGATATAGAATACCACGGAGATATCGAAGAATGCGAAGAGCAGCAGCTCAGTGAACGGTGGTGGGTGAGGCAACAAATTGACTCACAATGTGAACATCATAAGAAATATCCAGACGAGTGACTGTAAGATATACTAAACTCCCAACAATAGTCCGATAGAGGGTTAGGTCAAATAAGGGAGTACTGTCAGACGAAGAATAACGAACATTGAGCTCTAAAGGTGTCTCAACTGTCCGATTATCTGATAAACGAGCTCCTTCAATAACATCTTAAGCATACTTGGATTGAGAGAGAAAATATCCTTTAGGAGAGGAAACAATCTCAATACCCAAGAAATATCTAAGCTGCCCCATATCTTTCATCTCAAAATGGTTGCTACAACTTTAGAATTGATCACCCAAGTGTAGGTTGTGCGAAGTAATAAATTTCTCGGGAGTCCGAGGTTGAACCACAGAGAATTGGAAAAACAAGAGACACAAAACAAATAAAAAACAAACTTGTAAGAACAATTTATTTAAGAGATTGTTGAGTTGAGAAAATATTGATTGGAGTAATTAAAACAATATAATAAAAATACTAGAGCATCAGGTACTCCCTCTCAATTCCATACAATAATGATTAAGGACTCAAAACTTAACTTGGAACAAGAATCAGATGTCGGTTGATTCGAATAACAAATCAAATAAGAAAATCAAAAGTTGTAATCAAAAGATTATTTAGGAACCTGAATAATCATCCAATTATATTATTTTATGAAATAATGATAATTACCTCAAGCATGAAATAACATGTTATTTACTCGCAGGAAAATTCAAGCAATCGATGTACATGACACAACAACTCAAGGATTTTTACAGAGTAAAAATTTTGCTATAAGATCAGAATTTAAATTAACAAAATATCATAAATCATTAAACTTAGAATCAATAACATTACCGTACTTCATTAAGAGGTTCTCCTCTAACCCTAGCTTAACCTTCTAGCCAGATATGACAAACTAAAACTAGAAAAGAAAAGATGGGAAAAGAATTATATTCTAAATCCTAGAAGAGAACCCTTATTTATACTAAAAATAAATCCTAAGTATAAGTAGAAGATATAAGGTTGGCTTGGAAGGAATTCCTTTCCAAAGAAAAATCTTGTAAAGTTAAATCCGGTGCATAAAATCTTTGGGGCGCAAGTACAAAATCTGTC